GCTGACTCCGGAGGGTTACTTCGGAGGGTTCCCCAAAAATCAAGAAAAAAGGTTATGTTACCGCGATAAAGTCTCCAAAAGCGGTCCACCTGACTTAAAACTAGGTTGGCTGACACGGTCAACCTTCCCAGTTGGATAAAAAGGTGTTCTGATAAAATTTTCTGCCGCTCGGAGGGTTACCTGTAATTTGGACCCTCCGAACCAACAAATTCTAAAAAAATTTTCTTTTCCGAGATTATCAACCCAAAAACAGTTGCGGTCCGGAAAAGTGGTCCAAAACGTCGACTTATGGTACCAAAATTATCCCAATCGGTTGGCTAGTCTTTGAGAAATTGCCAAAAACGTGTTTATCCAAACGGCCTTTTTTCACCACCTATATAGGTTCCGAGAAACTTTTTCCGCAATTCCTATTGAAAGTGCCTAAAAATAATTGAAACGAGCGTAGTAGCCCTGTACGGCACTGGAATAATGCAAAAAAACCGGATCAAATTGGTTTGGAGACAAAAATTTGGCCAATAACTATCAAATTTGGACCCTCCGATTCCTTCCTTTTCCAATCCTTAAGTCGTTAGCTCTATCCACGGAGCTAATCGGAGGGTTACTCAAGAAATTTTCTGGCAGCCGAGCACTTTATGCTAGCACGCTCCTAACACAAAAAATTTTATTACTCTAACTCTAAAAACTCAAAAACTCGATCCCCAAAACAGATTGACAAATTTCAGAAAATTATCAAAAATTTGATCGAAAAATTTTGGTTTTTTCCAACTTTTACTGAGTCTTTTCTCACGCGGTTTCTTTAGTTAGGGGTATTGAACTAGGTAGCTACTCCCTAAATAAAAGCTTTTTGCTGTTCGGAAAAGCTCGGATACCCAAAAATTTGGGGGTCTATAGTTTGTCAAAAATCAGTAATTTTCGACAAACTTTGGTGTTTCTTGGGTCTAAATAGGAGATAAGTAATATATAGTAAGGACAATAATCTATTAATAGTCGTTAATGAATAGTACTATACCCTCCTTTGCACCAAAATACCCGAATTAAGACCCTTAACTCGGAAACTTGTAATCGATGGAGGGTACAATCGGACCGCGCCAATCGTGCCCCCCTCCACTTAAGTTTTAATGAAATAGTACCCGAACGATACTAAAATTGCTTCAACGATACCCAACAGTCGTTGTGGATGTTGTCCCTATGTCCCTGTTGAGTGTGGAACACGTCGGTCAGCTTGCCACTCTACCCTCCGGTCACCGGCAAAATCACCATTAACGTGCTTAAACACTCAAATTACACCCAACAACAAATAGGAAGGTCAGATCACATCTCGTCCGGAAACAACATATAAACTGTCACTTTACGTTTTTTACTGTTTTTGGTCTTTTTTGGACTTTTTACTGTTTTTTGTACTTTTTTGTTTTCAAATAAATTTGTTTTTGGCTTTTTGTTGGTTATACACTATTTTTGTTTGGTTTCACGCTTTCTCTTTAATTGTTTTTGGTCCCGGGACCTTGGGACAAGCGGGCTCATGACTTCCCACCTAACCCTCCGGCCCCCGGAATTTTCGGTGTTAACTAAGTTAAAAAGCTAAATAGTACTGGACGGAGGGTACGCGCCTTCCCCCTAGTACAATATCGGTCATTAAGGCCTCTAACTCGGGCTTACGCCCGGAGCGGAGGGTTCGTCGCTGAAATGCTTGCCGATCATGATGGTCTTATGCGTTTGACAGGCCCACCCAGGAGCGCCATAAAAACGTCTATGTAACATTCGCCCAAATACTACACAGCGACGGAGCGTAGAAAAAGTACCTATTAACGACTGGCAGGCGTCAGTTACCTTAATTCTACTCGTTTTTCACCGTCTCGACCTTGCCAGTTGATTTTCTGGTCTGTTTAGGGCTAAGTAAAAAGTTACTATTTTTAGGCCATCAGTCAAACGACTTTTCATCAGCTTTCGTTTACATGCGAACACAACCACATAGCTGAGTCTCGGATCCTCAGACTACGTGATTGCCATTAAAAACACGGCTCGAACCACCTATTTTAATATGTTTTTGTGTGACAGTTCTATATTAAATCCATTGGAGATGGATTGACCCTTTCCTCTTTCTAGCTACTCATTTTCTAAAATATCAAACTATACCGGTATTAATTCAGACTTCTACGACATCCAAGTAGCTACAAAGTTAGTTTTATATAGTCCCTTCACATAAAACAGTCTTTGGGGGACCAAGCCTCCGCTCCCGTAATTTTCCTGAGATAACGTTCTTATCTCTTCCAATTTCTGGCACGGGAGGGTTCCGTGGAATCTTCCTTCCCCACTGAAGCTTCCTTCTCCACTAATATCCACTGATAAGGGTCTTATCGTGTGTTGTTGCCACGATAAGAAGCTTCGTATTTCTCGTCTCTTGTTCGACTGTTTTTCACAATATTTGTCGTTGTTCTGTTTTTTCGTCGTTTTTCGTCAAAATGGCCGTCTTTTTTGTATTTCTGAGAAATATCCACAATTCAATCGAAATTTTGAAAATAAAAATTCCAGAATATTCCTACCCTCCTTCGCAATACTTTTTCGTTCATAAGGCCTTTATTCGTTTTATTTCGTGTCGCTGGAAGGTTGCGCTGTGTCAATCTGGCAGAATGGCACAATCCCCTGTATACGGAAGTTCTTATTGATATTATGTTGTATTTCTTGTTTTACTTCTTTTCCAGCTCCTGGTTGAGCTTTCATATCTTCAACAGGTTTCACACTGAGTACATCTGCATAGCTTTTTTTCCAGTTTTTCGCATGTGGTTTTTGTAGCGTTTTCGACTATTTCATCAACCAATGCCGTCAGCCTTTTTTTCATATTTTCAAGACAGGCTTGTATTCCCTCACTCTCTTTTTCAATTTTCTCGTTCATTTGCATCATGATCCTACACTTTATGAAGTTATCTCTTTCGTTATTAGTGACACATGTGTCGCATAGAAGCATTGCGTTTAAACCCAAGTCTTTTATGCCATTGATGGTGGTGTTAGTAAAACCAGTGCAGGGGCTCTCAAGATGCATTTGAGCATTGCAAGATACAGAACTGAAACATCTGTCCCTGGCCTTTATGGGTTTTTTGCATGTTTTGCAATTTTTAGTCAGATTGGTGGATACAGAGAGAAGGAGAAAATGGGATAGAGAAAATTTTTTTACAATTTGATTTATAATCTGCTTAGGTTCGTATGAAGGGCAATTAAAAATTTTTGTTTGTTTGTGTTGAGGGCAATGGGGTTTTTACATAAAGTTTTTATAAATCTTAAGTCTCGTTGATTTTGTTACGGCTTGAAGTTTCTGCTAAGGTATTTCTGGCGTTGTTACCGATTGGTAAGTCTTCTTCGATTTCTAATATCAGATTCTTTTGCTTTGTATAATTGTTGTATCGCAAGTGGTGCGAAACTCAGCTTCTTCTCTGTGCGTTATTTGAAAGACAAATGCAATGTACTTTTTAGAACACAACCAAAACAATTCACACTAGTGGACAAAATTATGCGCAAATTAAGGATTTTTCTGGAAAATGTCTTGTCAAAGTTTCTTTCGAAATTCAACGATCGAATTTCAGTAAATTTTTTTACAGTCACCAAGAGCAAATGATCAGAGCTTCTTGAACAAAAACACCATTTTGGTTTGAAAAGCTTTTCGGAGAAATACTCCATCATCAGTTACCAAAACCCTAAAACCAAATAACTGCTGAGTTGAATGTAAAAAGGTAGATTGTGAAGAAAAAATGATACAAGGAATGAGAGACTGATCAACAGTCAAACAAGAGTTCTGTTCTGGAGAATACCTCAGAGGGCATACGTCAGCGCGCGGCTCCGATACTCATCTTTCGTATTGAGACTGGGACGGATGGCGCGAATATGCAGGGTTTCTAATGCTAGTAAAATCTTGAGAGAAGGTGACGATTCCAGCACTTTGACGTCGTCCAGAGAAACTTGTGAAGACGTGCAATCAGTGAACTATTCATGAACTGGCATTCCTGCTCTTCCAGGTTCTTCAATCCTTGTTGGGAGGTGTCGCACTGAGCTTCCATCTATGAAAATATCAATATTTGTTTTTAATGACACAATGAAATCCGGGTCTGAAAATGCCAGTTTTCGTCATCTGCACTGTTTTACTTTGTATTGAACTCTTTCGTGAATAATAGGAGTAAAAAAGTCTTAGCGGCCAAAATTTGATAGTTTCTTAAAGGGTAGCTCTGATCATTTGCTCTTGTCTATGTTAAAATTTCACTACAAATCTAAGTAAATGTTGCCTCAAATGGACATTAGAGAAAGGCAGTTTGGAGAATTAAAACATTAATTTGCGCTGAATTTTGTCCACTAGTGTAGAAAGAAAAATGCGTTTTAGAGAAAACTTTTGGAAATGTGTGTTTTGTTAGATTTTTTCACAAAATTTCTCGATGCAATATATGGCCGGTGTTTGTCTGCTACATAAACAACGCATATCGTAGTGTGTAACTCAGAAAAAAGACTAGTCATATTGCATCAAGTGCCGTTAGTTTTTCTCTAAATAGAAGAGATTTTTGATAAAAAGTAAATTTCAAACGTTTTCGCAACTATGTGCGTTGTCAGGATTTTTACAATAAACTAATCTGAATGACGATAAAACATCAATTCACAAATGTTATTTACAATAATTCACTTACATTTTGCAAACAACCTACATTTACATTACAGCAAAATTTATGACAACAATTTTTTCGGGGAGTTTTCTTTGCTCAAGGCTTAATGGGCATCTACTCATGTTTTGTCGGCTTATTGGCAGCTCAATAAATACTATATGCGTATTCAACTCTTTTTTCTTTTTGACAGTTATCTGAAACAGTATTTTTGAGCGTATACATTGTTTTTGACTCCGTTGTTTCCGTCTCTCATTTTCTATTTGCGAGCTTGCAATGCTACGCTCGCGTTGTATCGCAAGAGATGCAAAGCTCCGGTACCTCCTTCGGTTAAATTTTTCAAACTCATTAATTTCTGTAATTTTATAGGAAATTGAATTGAGACATTTGAATTCGAATCAATTGCTCCGATATTTAATGGATACAGAATTTAGAGCAGAACTCACGAGAAGACGCGAAAACGTTGAAGATGTTTTTGATTTCGAGGGACAAAAAATTGGTAGAGGAACTTACGGTCATGTTTATAAAGCTACTAAGAAAAATCATCCGATGACGACAGATGTTTACGCGCTGAAACAAATCGAAGGGCAAGGTGTAACGATGTCTGCCTGTAGAGAGATAGAGCTTCTGCGAGAACTAGAACACCCAAATGTTATTACAATTTTGCGCGTTTTCCTTTCGCATGCGGATCGGCGTGTTTGGCTTTTGTTCCATTATGCTGAGCATGATTTGTGGCATATTATCAAGTACCACCGAACAGCAAAGGCGGCGAACAAACATAAAAATCCCTTTGGAGCTCAAAACCCTGCTGCGACTATGCGACCGACAATGGTTAAAAGTTTGTTGTATCAAATTTTGGCAGGTATATGTTACCTTCATGATAATTGGATTTTACACCGTGACCTGAAACCTGCAAACATTTTGGTGATGGGCACCGGAAACGAGAGAGGCAGGGTCAAAATTGCAGACATGGGATTTGCGAGGTTATTCCACAATCCTTTGAAGCCTTTAGCTGATTGTGATCCAGTTGTTGTCACTTTTTGGTACAGAGCCCCAGAACTTCTATTGGGGGCTAGGCATTATACTAAGGCTATCGATATATGGGCGATAGGTTGCATATACGCTGAGCTCCTTATCTCAGAACCTTTGTTCCATTGTCGACAAGAAGATAATAAGTCAAATAATCCCTACCACAGAGATCAATTGGAAAGGATTTTTTCTGTCATGGGGTTTCCCAATGAAAGAGACTGGGAAGATATCAGAAGAATGCCTGAAAATAATAAACTTACTAAGGAGTTTCACAAAGCGAACTACGCGAACAGTTCACTGGCTAAATATATGGATAAACATAGAGTAAGGCACGATTCAATAGAGTTTTTCCTGCTTCATAAGTTGCTTACAATGGACCCGACGAAGCGAGTCACATGCAAAGATGCATTGGACGATATTTATTTCCGAGAACAACCCTTGCCACACTCAGATGTGTTTGATGGGATGGATATTCCTTATCCGAATCGAGTTGTGCTTACTGAGGATGAGTCGGATAACAAGTCAAATTTAACTACTAATGCTGCTTCCAAAGCACAACACCATGCCTCGCAAATGCAAAACAATGGTGGCCAAAATCATGCAACAGTCACTGTTACCACGTCCAATCACAATCACCAGTTGACAGCCACGGTGGCAGCAGCTGCTAAGCGCATGCGAATGATGGACGGAACGAGTGGAGAACAGGTTCTGTCTCAGCCGAGGCAGCATGGCGCGCCGCCTCCAGTTTACCAGCAACCGCCACACCGAGAAACTCAGCAACATCAACTCTACCGACAGCAGCAGCAGCAGCAACAACAACAACAACAGCAGCAGCAGCATCAACTCACTTCTCATCATCACATGCAGCAGCAAGGTGCGAGCGGTGTTTCTCATTTGCAGCAAAATCATCAGCAGCAACAGCAGAGGTTGAGTCAAATGCAGCAGCGGTATTACACCGTAAATCAATGATATTGACTGATGTATTGATCCGCGAAGCTCCACACGCTTTGTTAAATGACCTGGGTAGTAATGTCTTAGATGAAGAATAGAGTGCGAATTGCTGAGGGGTATATATAGACATTGCCAACTCACAGTATGAAGAGGAAGCGAAGGTAAACGACGGGGTTTGCTCTAGACACTCAAGTCGATTGCGATTAGGCGTTATAAAATCTGGATTAGACTTTTTTAGGTTAACGTGTTTAAAAAATCATTTGATAGCTTAGCTTATAATAAATTCATTTTTATGTGCTCCTCCGGAACACCTGGCCTAGAGACAACCGACTACGTCTGTGTTGTTCGAATTTGACTTGAGGCATTTTGTTTGTATTATATTTTGTGGGCTTAGTTGGCACACAAGGATTTTTCTTGTGCTCTGAGAAATTTTCAAAGTTATCGAATAGTTGTAAAATTTCAGAAATTCAGTACTTTCAAAAAAAATTTCTCGACAACAGGTTTGACCTTCCGGGAGTTTACCTAGCATTGTCGGCGTATTTGCTCGCTAGTTGTTACCAAATAGTTATTTCTCGCCGAATGTATTGCTGGACGTGTGTTTCTCGAATTGAACATCATTCGAGACAAAGTTTTTATATTTGGTTTTTCGACAGTTTTTCATTTTTTTAATTAGTGTTTTTCGTTGCCTTTTTGTGTGTCAGCTTGCAATGCTATGTTTGTAAGGTATCGCAAATGGTGCGAATATTACAGTGCTGATTTAAATTAACCGGACAAAACGCGTTAAACTTGAAATTTAAAACCCGTTTTTCTCAAATTGGGTTGAGTTTAGGTGAAAACTTATGAATACAAAACTTGCTTAAAATTTTAGCAGAATTAATATGGTGTAATTTATTTTGCGAAGTTCGGGCCCGAAATTTTAACCAAAAAAATGGGTCATTTTGGCTTTTCTTAGTTAATCAAAAATTACGCCGAAAATACCCAGTCGATCACAGACATAATTATATCAAAGTGAGCCCCTTACGTAGTCCAACAAACTTTAAGAAGGGTATGATCTCCAAAATATTGTATAAAATAATTTATTTTTGTTTGATAGCCAAAAAAAGTCGTTTTTACTATAAAAAATACCAACTATTTATTTAAATACAATTTTTAAACGATTTGCAATTTTTTTTGGAGAATATACCCTGCTTAAAGTTTGTTGGACTACGTAAGTGGCTCACTTTGATATAATTATGTCTGTGATCGACTGGGTATTTCCGTCGTAATTTTTGATTAACTAAGAAAAGCCAAAATGATCCATTTTTGGGGTAAAATTTTGGGCCCGAATTTCGTAAAAACAACTTACACCATATTAATTCTGCTAAAATTTTAAGCAAGTTTTGTCTTCATAAGTTTTCACCTAAACTCAACCCAATTTGAGAAAAACGGGTTTTAAATTTCAAGTTTAAAACGTTTTGTCCGGTTAATTTAAATCAGCTCTGTAGCTTTGTCTCTGAACTAATTGGAGATTTTCCCGTCTGTTGCAATTGTTGTTTTTTTTTGCTTATTAGCAAGCTCAGCGTCTAGCGCAGACTCATTTAGTTGAAGCTAGTATTAAAATTAAAGTTATCCAATTTTTTGAAAATGACATTTTTTGCAAGATCAGTTGCTTGACAACTGAAAGGTGCGAAGTGTTTCAGATGGACTTTTTCCATTTGAAATCGAGTGTAAATTAGAAAATGAGTGCAGGTCGTAGGACCCAATACCTTAAGATAGTTTCGTAGATCCTATGTGGGCGGTACATGTAATGTTGTATCCGTTTTCTAGTTCCGTGTTCAACGGTAACATTGTTTGAAATCCTCGGTGCTACCTCTTGAGCGACAAGCTTGTTTAATTCTATCCTCGTTGTATCTCAAGTAGCGCGAAGCATAGCTTCGCCATTTGCAAGCGAGAGAAGTAGTGACTTGTAATCAGGACTAGGCGTTGTCCCATAGACAACTTTTTTTCCAGACGACAGGTCTGCGGTTATAGTCACGGCCGGGCAGTTTTCCTTTTCGTCAACTATGTATGTTTTTTTAACCTGCTGTTTTAAGAAAACTTAAATTTTTTCTGGACCTTTCTGAATTGGCTCAGAGGTAAAGCACACGGCTAGTAACATAAGCGCTCTGGGGTTCGAGTCCCGGCGAACAGTTTTTGTATGTCTGTATGAAATTGACATTGCTTTATTTTGGAACCTAAAAGTTTTTCAGGCCCTTCTCAGGTAAAGCATGCGTTTTTAGACCCTAAGATTTATGTGATCCTGTTGTTAGTGCGCAAGCATTATCAAATCAGAATTCAGACTTTTTTCCGTTCAACAACAAAATCTCTTTCTAGGTAAAGTTTCCATGTTCCAACCCGGAGAGTACCTGTTTTTTTGTCATGCTGAAAGTTTCGCGTTAAAAACTTTTCTACCTAACATCTGTCTTTCTGTGTTTCTTCACGCCTAGTTGCAACAGCACGGTATTTTCATGTGCTGTAAGCAATTGCCTTGTATTTGAAAGTTTTTTTGACTTTTTCCAATAATTAATGTACAGACACCTAAATTGGCATAATATTCTCTATTTTTTTCGCTCAAAAGCTTTACTCGGCTTTTATGGTTTCGGCTTATGTAATAAACGGTCTGTTTTTTTTTTATTTCCAGAGGGGGCGTAGAATATCAGTACGTTATAGCTCAAAAGTTTTAGTTTTTATGGCAACATCTTAGTTTTCGGATCAACGAACATCTTAGTTTTTGGATCAACTCAATTATTATCAACCTAGCCCTCGATCGGTTGTTTCTCTGCACATAGTCATTGCAGATGACTCATGCTCAAATTGTTTTTCTTAAATCCGACAAGCACTTGAAGCCATGATACAATCTAGAAATCTAGACAACTATCAGGACGCTACTACAAATACCATATTTATCTGCAACGTGCGCATGAGTTGAAAAAACTGAACAAAGTCAAGTTAAAGTCAAGTTCCCAGCTTTGAAACAGCATAACTTTTAACTTTAAACTGAAAATGCAATGCAACTAACTTGGCTGAATTAAAATCTCAGAAATGTCTCCGAATCAAACGCTAAGTATTTCAAATGTCACCCTTTTTCTAAACGTTCTTATTTCTTGTTTTTCTAGTTAATTCATAAGTGCCTCCATCCAGATAACTTAACCTTTCTTTTTACCCTACTAATCTTAGTGTTGTTGCCAGGTACGAGCATAAAGACGGAGACATTGGCGTCCAACTACGAGAAAGAATCTACGACTTTTTTTGATTTCGACTTTTATTTGGTTTGTTTGTTAAATTTGTTTGTTCTTTGGATTGGTTTGTGTGTTACTAGATTTGGACTGGTTTTTTGGACCTTCTCGTCAAATTGTTACTAAGAACTACGTTATTGTTTTGTTTTGTTAAATTTAATGCCTGTTACAAGATCACAATTTTCGAAAATGAACTCAAATAGAGACGTCACTGAAATTGTTTTTGAAACCGCCTTACTAGACGATACTCATTTGAAAGTGATTGAGACACGTTATTTTATACAATCAATGGTTTAGATACTATTCTCAATAGTCTCAATATTATTTGATGAGCGAACGTAATGGAAAAATGCAACAACAGTTACTGCCCCGATTGAAAACAGTAAATTTGGACTAAAGAAAAACCGAGATTGAGTACAAACGCTATGCAATGAGGCAACGCTCAACTTGCAATATTTCAATGACATCTTCGCGGGCTCAAATTTATGTTTCGACCCCGTCGCTCGATCGATATGCCCTTACTGCTAACTAGCATGCAAAATCACACACACAGCACCGCGAACATGAATAGACTTCTTTGGACCCTTTGCCGTACGCAATAATAGTGAATTTAGCAAGCGATATGTTCTCTTCTTCACCTGCCTAGTGACGCGCGTCGTTCACTCTGAAATTTGCTACAGTATTGGTGGAGACTCAACTCTTCAAGCCCTACGCAGCTTCATAGCCCGACGCGGAAAACCTAACCTGATCTTCTTGGACAATGGAAAATGTTTCGTTGAAGCCTACAACGAAATGCAACAGAGCCTCGCCGAATTACAACAAATTGACCACCTCAAACAGCAATGCCAACACACTGGAATCACCTGGAAATTCAACTTAACTTCAGTCTCTCATTTTTTTGGTTCTTGTGAAAGACTAATCTAGCTTTTCAAAGACTCTTACAAAGTTATTGGAACTAGGATACTCAAAGACGAAACTTTGTCAACCTTCACTTGCGAAGTTGAAGCCCGAATGAACTCGAGACAACTGACAACTGTCTCATCTGACCCTACCGACACTGAAGCCTTGTCGCCGAATCACATTCTGCTAGGACGACCTTCAATAATCTTGCCCCCTGTTTTGTTTTTAACTCGCACCCTCACTCAAAAGAAAACTTGGAAACAAGCTCAAGTTCTGACCCAGCAATGCTGGAACCGCTACCTCAAAGACTACCTGCCAACACTGACTACGCGAACTAAGTGGACACAGCCAACTCAGAATATTCAAACTGGAGATTTAGTTTGGTTACTCGATGACTTGACACCTCGCGGTCTTTGGCCCCTGGGATAGGTACTACGTGCTCTTCCCGGATCGGACGGAATTGTTCGCTCATGCGAGATTCAGACAAGCCGTGGACTCCTGACGCGACCAGCCGGTAAACTTTCCAAAAGTTTTAGAAGAAGATACATCACGAACTGTTTAACTACGATGACAACTAAGCCATGATACAACCTAGAAATATAGACAATATCAGGACACTACTACATTTACCATATCTATTAGCGCATGAATTGAAAAAACTGAGCAAAGTCAAGTTAAAGTCAAGTTCCCAAATTTGAAACAGCATAACTGTAAACTGAAAACGCAATGCAACTAACTTGGCCGAATTACAATCTCAGAAACGTCTTCAAATCAAAAGCTAATAATTTCAATGTCACCCTTTTTCTAAACGTTCTTATTTCTTGTTTCTTCTGTTTCTTTAGTTAATTCATGATTACCCCATTCTAGATAACGTAACCCTTACGTTTCCCCTACTAATTATAGTGTTGTTGCCAGGTACGGGCATATAGATGGGAACATGGAACTTTGGTAGATGTGGATTTTTCGACATTTTTACTCCCGCGATTAGCAGCAAGCGTTTTGAAATTGGAATATAGACTTTTCGGGTTAACATTTTGTTTAACAAAATCACTGAATCATTTGTGCAATTATCATTTGTGCAGCATCCATTTCTGCAGCAAACATGCTCATTTTTTTGGAAATTCAAATTTAACTTTTGGTTACGAAAAGTAGTTGACGGCTAAGGGCCTAGGCTTGAATCCGGTCAGCACCGGGTTTTTTTAAGCCCAAAATATTTCATTTTTAAGAAATTATTGGCGTATCAGTTGTCTGCTTATGTTATGTGAGGTTAGTTTCCACCTTCTTACCTTTCTTGTGCTATAAGAGCTAATTTTATTATAATTGAAGGTGTTTTTGATTCTTAATTGTAATTTGTAAAATTAAAAACATTTTATTTATATATTTTTAAAAACTTCAGACTTTGTCCTTTTGTTTCATTTTGCTGCTAGCTTGCAATGGTTGTTTTTTGGGGGCGTAGCAAGTGAAGTTAAGATCTGCTTCGCCTGTGTTTCAATTAATTGATTGCAATTTCAATGCAATTATAATTATTGCAATAAATTTTTGGTAGCCCTTTATTATTTTCAAATCAGACCAAACGACATTTTTGAATGAGTATCGAAAGGCTTGGTTGGTGGGTATTTGTCCGCTCCAAAATTTCTAATTTTTTTTAGCGACTGGGAAGGCTTTAAATTGACATCGCTCTCGATCTACTGCCAACCTTCTTGAAGTATCTGAAGTTGTGTTCAAACTCAACTCGAGATCAAAGTTCGTTCCCACCTCCTAAATCAATATTGAAATTGAACAATTGTTGTTTCCTTACACCTACGATTTGAATCTTGTGCACTCGGGGTGTAAAAAAGTCTAACTTTTACTCAGTTTCAAATGGAATGAAAGTTTTTCAGATAAGTCCTGGTCAAATTCAAGCAACTATGAATCATGACATATTAATTGAGGCCATGATAAAGAAAATTGTGTTGTTTTTTTTTGATCATGGTGTAACGAGAAGACCTGAAAAAAGCCGTGGTGTAATGAGAGGAACTGGAATAAATTTGAGTTTTCATGTCTTAAATCTCGACATTGAGAAACATTTTGAGAATTTTTAAATGTAGTTCGAATCACGACTGAAATGGCTTTTGTATAACCTGATCTATTTCGATGTTGGTTTGTGATGCCTGATTTTGCTTGCAAAAAATACTTTAAAAAATTAACCCACCAATCCCCCCCACCCCGAAAACAAAATTTCTCCTCTGTCAATGGGCGGAACAGCAACCATTCCCCCCGATAAACGTTTTCAGATCATAACTTAGCCTTGTTTTTTTTTGAAATTTGCCCATTATTTGTTGCAACGAATTTTTGGTTGTCCTGGTCTATCTTTAATAGCCACTTAAAAACAAGATTATAACATTTTTTACTGAATCAGGCTACATACATCTTTACTGAGTTAACTTTATTTATAAAATTAGCTTTTGCTGTTTTTGGTTTAGTGTTTTTAGTATTGTGAATTTCTTGAGCTAGAGCTGTAATAAGCTTTGACGTTTTTGGCCCATTTGGATTCCCGGAAATTTGACATAATTGATCGCCAAGTTTTCTGCCTTGTAGTTGCGTCTCGTAACTCTGAAATATATTTAAAAACAGATCATTGAAGCCTCAGCAAACAGCGGATAATTGATTGAAATTACTAGCAATTTACTTTCTGGTGACAACAGGTCCTCACACTTCTGGTCCTCCAACTCCTCACTGAAATAGGCGCATTAAATTATAATAAGGATTATGTTTTTCATATAGAAGCCACTGGTTTTTCGTGACTTACTTGAGTCGATCCTGTTCCAATATTTGCACGATTCCATTCCTCTTTTCGACCACCTGGAGTAAGTTGGCCAACAGTCTTTCTTCTTCAGCTGTTTCGACCTCCGTTTTGGCTAAAACCAAACACTGTTGTCAACTCTCACCAATTTAGTTAAAGTGAAGCCAACACGAAAAGATATTACTGGCGTAACAGTAACGTGACAAGGGTTCTTCTTAGTTGTACATTGTGTGTTGTTCATGTGAATTTCACAGTTTTGTGAGCATATAATTATATTTTTAATGCAGTCAGTCTTGGCCCCCTGAAATGTAGTAAAAATGTAGCACTGTGTTGATTAATAATCTGACGTTGTGCTGTCATGAGGTGTCTGAGTTTGTCGGTGATGGCCTCTTGGATCTCCTCCAGTTCCCTCTGGTTCAGAATGTGCATCAACTCATTCTCCCTCCTGACTATCCTGTTCTTACTCCTCACCAACTCCAGCCACTCTCCCAGCAATACACTCTCCTCACATCTAGTCTTAGCACCCGACTCTAAACAATTTCAATAGAGAAATGTTTTTTTTTCCAGTCACTCGATCGTCAGATTCAGAAAAATGGGTCAGTTCCCATATAAAAGACATCAAATTGAATGAGTCGCGATCAGCATTTATCTGTCTTCTTTTGTCAGATGATGACTATGTCTTGCGATGACTGGAACACATCTTTTCTAATAGATGTCTAATTGAAAGATTGGCCGAGTTTAATAGGGTTTAAAATGTGCAATTCAAGTTTTTCCGGCGTTTCTCGTTTTGAATTTTAATGAATCTTTTGTTTTGAATTTAAAAAGTCTTTTGTTCACCTTTGGCAATGCAATGTAGCACATGTTCGATCTGGGTTCCCTTGTGCTGCAGCTCCTTAAGCATTTCCTCCAGTTGGTGTAGCTCCACGTATATCTGGTGCTCCGGCATGTTATCCGTTTTGCCATATTTCTAGAAGAACAAGTAATGTAGCATCCAGTCAATCAAGTCATTAAAGTAACAAATGTTTATATTTTTGTTTTGTTTTTTTTCAGCGATAAAAAATTTTTCGGCATAAATACAATTGCTGATCTTTTTTCCTGTCTTTTTTTTTACTCCTTGGAACTGACCTTGGGATAGAGATGTGCCTTCTCGTATCTGGGTTCCACGCGTGGCTGTTGGCTCCTTAGCTGACTAGATGTGTCAGAAGATGACTTGGTCTTGCGTCTTGTGGAATTATGTTTGGCTTTGGCTGGGATGTTATTGTTGTTGTTGCTTGCATTGCTATTTGTTGGGCTAGTAAGTTGGCAACCTGAAGTCATTTTGAAACGTAGTTTTTTTATGAGTTCCAATACAATGCTTAAATATTAGTAGTTGCTTATTTGCATGCATATGATTATCCGGAGAAAAATTTTCTTTGTTCCTATTTTAGTGTTTGGACTCCTTTTGAGATAGTGCCATTTCATACGGAAACTAGCTTACTGACTTTCGTGTTTTTTTCTAGGCAACTGTAGGCAATCATTTTGTTCTTATCTCTTCTCAAGCGAATCAGTTCGAAGACTGAAAAAAGGTTTAAAAAAGGATGCTGACTCTGACCTTGGAGGAGGGTGAAGGGGTTGTCCTCATAGAAGCCATCGAAGCAGTAAGTGAGAGTGGACTCTTGTGCATCTGAAGATGTGCATCCGTCGTCGAGGTAGATGTTTAATTGTGACAAGGAATTCGAGCCTAAAGCGGAAGTTATGCAGTTTCACCGAAGTCATTGTAAAATTTTAAAAACAATCGGCAGGTAGTTCTTAATGAAGGCAGTGAAATTTTCAAAAAAATTGTCAGGAAATTCTTAATTGAGTGTTCTAGTTGATAAGAATATCAAGCCAAGGCATTGAGCGATTTTGCCTTACAATTTTGAAAGAGTGTTGTTTTTTTTCTAGATTTAGTATCCTGAATCAAACGCTTGGAACATAATTGCTATTTTGTAATTTATTTTTTCGTCCAATTAACCGAAACCGTGTTCATAGCCAGATCAATTATTATTTTTCTACTCACTTTCATCGACGTTAAGCGCTTCCACGCTGTCGCATTCAATCGACGATATTCGTCTTCGGTTATGCTGGCTACTTCTCCGGTGGTTGTCATATTTGTAGGAATCTCCAGGGCTTGTAGGACTGAAGTGAAACTGCTTTCTAGGACTATTGCTTAGTGAAGTGGATTGATTAACAAGTTTCTTGGCTGGCGTAGGCGTGGTTTCCTCGCATTTTAAACGTACAGTGAAGTTTGGATCCTCGCCAGTGCTTCGATAAGTGGAAGCGTAGCTATCGAATGACAGTAAATCGATGGAATTCGGTCGCATAAAATTAGGAGGATGATTTTTATTAGATGTTGACTTTTCGTCAATTTTTATTTCAACCGATGATGTTGAGCCATCAGATTGCGTCTTAAGTGTGTCTTGTTTTTGTGGAGCATCATTTTTAGAGCTGTTTTTGGCTTCGTCGGGACTTGAATTATTATCTCGCCATGAGTCAAGCATATAAAGCGGGTTCATACATGCCTCCAGTTGCTCAGGTGATTCCGCTTGCTCCGATTCTGATACCCGGTTCCGCGGAGCTGGTGACGAGAATGAAAGCAAAGGATTGTTTGGATCTCCAAATAGCTCAGAGTCAGAAGAATCAGATTTTGAGATGACGTCTTCAAAGACCCCGCTGTCATCTGTGAGAACTGAGTTTCGGTTGGACATCGAAAGATTTCCCATCAGCCGGGTCCCGGTGAAAAAGGTTCCGGGACTGCTGCATGCATGAGAGGCTTCTGAAGCCTCGTGCTTGTCGAAGTAAGAATATCGTTCCATGTTTATAGAAGCAAGACTGAATTTTGAGGTCGTCGTTTGTTGCAAGTAGAAATTTTTTCTACGCAGCTATCAGTCTACAAATAAAAGTAAATCTTGATATAATTGAAGGTAACAACGGCAAGATCAAAAATGGTATAAAAAAACATAAGTTTCTAGTTCACCTATTGCTAATCAGAATGGCTAAATTTAGAAAATAAATTGAAAGGAAAAAATATGCGAGTGCAAACTTATTTCTTCTGAGGATTGAGTTCGTATTTAGGGAAGAGCGAATTATGAGGTAATGAGGATTGACGCGAGATAATCCGGAAATTAATGCAAGTTTGTAGATTTAGAGGTTTTCCCATCTAATACTTCTATGATGATTTATATTGAACATAATAATCTACGTTTTGCTTGAAAATTGTCCATCCTTTTCCATAGAGCATTACGCAATTGAAATGTATTGTTTTTAACATGTCTGTATGAGGAAAAATGTCCCAAATTTCCGCTTCTTAAAAAAATAACAGACTGGTGCACAATTGATTACATTGGATTATACTGAACACCGTTTGCTTAGATTTTGCTGCGTTATTTTTATTATTTCCCCGCTATCTAGGCATGGAAATTGATGGCAGCGTTGAAATTCTTTTGGGCGAGTTTTATTACTTTTTTGTGACCTACCTGTGTGAAATGGGGAGAAAATTTAAGGGATAAAACCGCAGGCACTTTAGTCAAAACTGAGCCTTAGCGTGGAAACTGGCCGCAGTGTAGCGCAGGTGAAAATGCGCTTTATTGCAGTGGTTAGATTGGAAATGGGGAGCGCTATTTGCTGTAATAAGAGAAGGAAAATGAATGTGTTCGTTGTGAGGGACGTCTGAGTTGTATTTATTTACTGTTATTGTTCTGCCTGAAAAGCTGCAACAAATGACGGCCTCGCGTTCAAAATTTCCTACCAGTTTTTGACTACCTGGTCTGATAAGAGTATACTAGTATCCCCTCCCATTGCGCTGCTGCAAAAAACTTCCTTTTTTGCAGGATTGTCTTGTGAAGATTATATAATCAAAATTATTAGTTGAAGTGTTCATGAAACATATTTTGTATTTTGTTCTTTCTCCTCCATAATTTGTCTTTTTAGAGGAAAAAGTATTTTTGGCGAATTTAGATATAGAAGTTTCGAAATTTTAGTCATTTTGATAGATCGATCGATTTTCCGAGCGGTCCTCAAACTAAATGCAGACTAATAGACTAAAATGCAGGCAGCCTTGTGAGAAAGCAAGCCAAAAATTTTCATTTTGGGGCACATTGTTAAGATAAAGATTTAAAAAATTTGTTTTTTTTTGTGAGTGCTTTGCCCTTCAGAATTAGTATGCAAAGGTGCTTCAGACAGTTTGTTGGTTGGTTTCCATCCCTTGTGTCTAATCTGCACCTGTATAAGTCTATAAATTACCGACTTGGGAGAAAATAAGGCTTTTTAATAGTAAAATGGTGGCTACCTATAAAGTCATTATCATTGCTGCATGGAGTAAATGCAATCGAATGGTCCATCGCTCAAAGAAAATATAGCCATTAAACAAAGCAATTGTTATGGTTTGTCTGAACAGTGTTGAAACTTATGGTATATATTGTGTATAATGATATCTTAATTCAGCCCCAACATATTTGATCATATTTGAAGACGGGTAGTTTTTATGGTTCAACTATGCTAACATCAACAGAAGGGTATTTCTATAGTTGGGAGTCTGGGATATAATACAAATGGATAGTTGTTCCATTCTTAATCAAAGACCGTTAGATCAATATTTTTTCTTTTATTCTATTCCCGCTGCTGATTCCATGTAATAGATATGGTGTTATTTGATAGTGCGAATTTCTACTAATCCTTACTTGGTTAGTATAAATGCTAGTGTGGTGATATTGATATGCCTGCTTTTGATTCATTTATTTCCCTATGTGTTTCCTACAGACACTAGTTGTCTAAGTGGAGCATAAATAATGGGTTTGGTTCTCAAGAGACACTTTTGCAACCCATTTCCCCCATTAAAACCGGGGATTGAGGCAGTAGTTGTCAGGAATTGTCGCAAGAAAAGAAAGCGATGCTAATTTTGAAGAACCCGGTTTGAAGCAGGGAAGTAAGATGAGAAAGTTGCTTTTTGTCGTCGAATATCAGATCAAGCGTACTGACAAGAATGATGTTATTTGAAGTGATTTTTCACTTAGGTAGGTTTTTTTAGGTGGAGCTTACAACCGAATCAAAAATTAAAGTATAGAAAAGTAAATAAAAAAATAAATCAGGCAAAGGTTAATAAATTGTTCCGGTCACCGAGAATTGATTGGAACTGGTCTTTGAGTGTTTTAGTGATTTTTTCACGTTTTTTTTTTCACATAAAATCAGATAGCTGCAGATTGTCTCAACTGATATATCCATAATCAAGCCCTTTCAGTTGTGGTTCGAATTTAAAAAAAAACCCCACAAAACTTTATGTTGAGCAAAACCGGTCCGAATTTTTTTGATTTTTAGTCCAATTTACCTTGAATAAAGCAAGCGGCACAAACGGCGCAAAAGAAAGGTTATGAATTTTTTAAAAAAAATGTATCTGCTTTTTGTGTCTGGATTTTTTTTGTGCTACCTACGCAGAAACTACAGGTTTTTGTGAAGCATTCTTCGATGTAAAGGCTACTGCTGCAGCAGTGTCGCCTAATGTTAAATACCTTTGTAAATATCATTAAATTTATCCGTTGACAGTGATTTCAATTTTAAAATTTTAGCAAATTTTTTAACCAATAACCATGCGAACATTTCAAAGTCGAAACTGGTTAAACCAATTTTGCCATTTCATTTTGCTGGGGCCAATTATAAGAGCTTTTCCACATTCTGCTATATGCATGTTTTTGAAGTTCTAAATTGCACAAAAAATATCGAGTCATCGGGTTAGAAAATGTTTAGCGTTGGTTTAACTTGATATGAATACCTGGCCTAAATTCAAACTCTTCTTTAAAAGAGACTTGAGCTGGAAAAGTTAGATTAAGCAAGGTCTGTTTTAAACCAATTTAGTTTAACCAATTGGTTAATGGTCAAATCGTTTCAACAAACCAACTTTTGAAACCAATTGGTCGAAACACTCGTTGATTAAATGGCTAGATTGGGCATTACTGTCCTTTCAATCAATGCGCATTCAATGTTCCCGTTTTTTTGTACTGACAGGCAGCATTGCGCAGTGGTTCAGACAAATGAGTTGCTCAGTTCGGCAACTTGGTTTGCGTCGAAAGCGGAGATTTGAACACTTTTTTGTGCACTTGGAAAACCATTGTTTTGAGGTACATATGGTTGCCATTAGATACAAATCTGTTTATTGCTCCACCGCTGAAAGTGGGCAGGAACTTTGTTTCTGAGTATTTTACTTTTTGTAAAAAAAAAACTTCTTTTGAGTTTTTTCCCACGCAAAATCAGGTGCGACAAACAGTCATCGGAATGGGTCGAGTCATATATCAATGGAAAGCCCTTTCAGCTATGATTCAAACAACATTTAAACATTTTCAATGAGAATTTTTAGCTTTCAGAAAAACCAGTTTGATTTTAGACTTTTTAAACTCTGTTTTCACGCTTGCAATTCGGAAAAGAAAATATTTTTTGTTCCGACTTTCGAAACGAAAGTAACGGAATATTTGTGCTCGGGGTGGGTTTTTTTTCTTCAGACAAATTTCGACTTCTTAACTAGCCATTTTTGACGGAAGTTTTTAAATATCATTCGAAAGCTATTGTTGTCCTGAGCTTAAATTTGAAAAGATATTTCACTTGTGATCCTTTTTCGCAAAGTTATGAGGGTTTAAAGATTGCCATTTTGACCAATTTGGGACAATAAACGCGCGATATAATTCGCGCTATTAACGCGTAAGCAGAGATTTAATCCGTCTTAGAAATTTTTCCAAATTGGTTGAAAGAAGCTTATTTGCCATAATTGATTTGTTACAAGGAGCGAAATCTATTGTTTTGTACTTTATATGGCGTGTGGGGGGATGATTTTCATAGAAAAATTTTCAAATTTTAGAATTTTTTTTTTTTTTCATTTTATTTTATTTCATTTATTTTTTTTTATGTTGTGCATGTTATTACTGCTCCATAAACGTTAAAAGGCAGTCGTAACTTTCAGGGCTTCGCCCTGATACGAGCAGTCTTGTTAGGTTAAGAATTAGTTCAGCAAAATCACTTGAATCATTTTTCGACAGCAGCTGGCATATATGTTCTGCTAGACTGTTTAACCTACAGATTTTGTGAGCATATCTGTTTTTCAAATTGCAGTTTTATTTGAAATTTTTTAATGTTGGTTGGAAACCTACTCTTGGTTCTTGGTTCATTGTTTTAATTTGTTTTTTCGCGTTAAGTTTTTTCTTCGGAACAAGTGGTGGCGGCTGATGTTAGATCTGCTTAGTTCTGTTTTAAAGACCAAGTTTTGTTTTAAATAATCTGTTTTTCGGTGGGCGTTAAACTTGGGGGTGTTCGTTTTAAGTATTTTCAGATTTTTCCATTTTTAGCCTGGCTTTTATCCCATTTTTTCGGCAAGCTGCCGTGCTATTTTGTGTTATATCTCAAGCAGCGCGAAACTCCGCTTTGCCTGTAAGAAAGTAACAAAGTTATAGAAGGTCTTATTTCAGCCCTAGAATATCAGCTCAAATGACAGGCTGGACTGATCTCGCCTGGTTGTGAAAATAGATAATTTTTGGGGCAACAAAATTATACAATTTTTCCCCAAATGTTGGCTACTGAGTAGAATTTTGTAAGACACTAATTTAATCAAAATCAAAGGCGTAGTCTTGATAAAATAAATTAGAAACTAACCTCGATTACTATAAGTCTCTGTTGAGTATCCGTGACGGATCGCCAACTTCATATGATTGAAGAAGGTATAAAAAAGACTTCTACGGACTATTAGTGACTTGCTAAATCAGATAGAACAAGCGCGTTAACACTTTGATTTGAGCTAAGCTCCCCAACTTCAAAGAAACTCCAATCACGACTTGATTACTGTCTAGTTTTTATTCAATTTTCCTAGCCAAATCTTCAAGAAGGAATCAGCTCCTCGCAATGTATATGCAAGTCTACTCTGTTTGAAAGTTAATGGTTTTGCATTTAGATTTGAGAAGAGATTAAATGTGGCTCCATGTTTTACGAGTAAATCAAAATCAGCGGGGAAAAGGTAATCGCAGGTCGGCCAAATTAGCTCAAGACTCGACTAAGTCGATTGTTGTAACTTCAAACTTACTCATTTTCGTTATCTCTTTGTGCTGTGTTCTCCAAATTGAATAAATGGTAGAAAAGTGGTCTGGTGATAATAAACAGTGGATTATCAGTTATATTATAATGCAACTCAAATTATAATAATCTAGCCTGCCCTCTCTCCGATCGCCAAACCGCCACTTCAGTTAGAACTTGATTCTATTGTATACATTACCACCCACATTTTAGTTCATGCCATTTTTGCGACCCATGAAAATGCCCAATGATTAACACGTGATATGAAAACGAATGCTTTCTGCTATATGCTACTATGGTGATGCTTTTTTAGTCCCCGTTTTTGAGTTGTTGGAGTAACAATTGCACGACTTGCATAAAACCGATAAGCTAATAATACTTGTGTATGGTTTACTATAATTTGAAAGAGACAGAAACTTAGATATTTTTAATGTGTTTCGTTATAATGCAAGTCTAGTTAGAATCCACCATAATAAATTTTAAAGGCGTATAATACTTCACAGAAATATGTTACAGGCTTTCGATATAATTCATTGAAATATAAGCTTTTTTTCATAGTATCTTTTTTAGTACCATTTTTATGCCATTTGGTCTTTATGTTATTAGACACAGTGGCATTCGTGGTTTTCCTTTCTCCCATTATTCGTGCAGCTCACTTTTTGTGGCTTCCTGCTGCTACGGTGCTATGGACAGACCAGTAGAATTAATATCATCTATACCCGTTGTGAAAAAGTGGCAATGACGTTGCCTGCCAAACACACAGGAAATTGGTAATCGATGAAGTTAGCTGAGCTCGGTTGTGTAAATGCGTGAAAAAATTTCGCAATCGAGGGGTATTTTTCAACCATAAAAAGGTAGTTTTATCCTTAACTGGAGTGCGGAATAAGCTCTGTGAAAGCTGTTTTTTTTAACTTAAATTTTGGAGATTACCTCAATTCAAACGGTGATGAATTCAAATAAGTTCTTGAAAATCCGGCTGCCCCGTGGAAAAGCCTAGATCAGTCCCTCTTCTGGGTATCGGAGGATTAGTTGCTTGTTTTTTTTTCATCCCCAGAGTTCTGTGTGCGTATGTGCTAAAAACTTGAACCGACCGATGGTTTTCTCCAAAAAACAATGACGAAATTCTAACTAACCTCTTGAAGTCTGTTTGCAAAAGGTGGCTTTGGTGTAAATGAACTCTTAGGAAATCTCGAATTATTTTGAATCTGTGCAGTAGATTATACGGCCAATTTCAGCTATAATTTCAGGCCAATTATGTCTGAACTGGGAGTCTATTTTGACTGCCTTTCGATTTTAAATTCGCAACAGAAGGTACAACTTTCAATGAACTGATTTCGCTATTGTTTTGACATGTGGCTGTTTATGTTGCTACACCTATAAATAAGCCTATCCTAAATAACTCTCAAAATGAAATTTCCAATATTTCACTAAGCGCTTTACTCGAATATCAAATAGAGGGTCTTATTGGATTCAAGTTAGAAAAACACGTTTCGCGAAGTACGGAGGCTTATTTTGCGCCCGCTTGACCGGAGTAATCTTGTTCTTACCTTGGGCAATGTTTTGTTCCACCAATCCCTCTGAATTGATATTATGGTAGGAATAGTACCCTTATAAATTTACTCTTGCTGAGGGTAATTGTTGTGTGACCTGTTGAACACTAAAAAAGAGTTAAATTGCTCTGAACAAATTTTTTCCTGTGGCAGAAAATAATGAGTTAAATAAAGAGGGCTGTTCGATCGATAAAATGATAATCATTTCGATTTAACTTCATTTGCCTTTTTGTTCTGATTGGCAAAACGCGATTGTTTTAAAGTGCCAATGAATAAAGTGGAGACACTAATTTAGGTCATGCTTTTTTTTTAGTTCTTTCAAGAAAAATAGTTTTGCTCGCGCTCAGATTTGATTTTTCGCGGTTTGGCTTTTGATTTTTTTTAAATCAAAAGAAAGGCAAATTGCAAGAGCGAATGTCTTGTAATCGGGAACTAGACTGAAGTTGAACTTGCTTATGTTGGGACCTAAACAATGAAGCCTTCCTCCCAACGTGGCATGGAGGTAACGCGGTCGCTTTTTCACCCTAAGGTTTAGGCTTCGAGTCCCTTTGAAAAAGTGTCATGGCTATCAAAAAAGTCAAAGTTTTGAAGCTATGATCATTTCTTCTTGGAAATTATTAAATTTTCTCGAGACTTACCATGCGATTTTTAAGTTGAGTGTTCAATAGAGAAACCTGTGTTTGGAAATCTCATCTTTTTGGGCGGTTCTGAAATACTGTTTGCAGAAAAATGTTAAGGATTTCGGAAAGTCAAGTTTTTGAACGTTTTTTTTTTAGTGTTTCTTAAAAACTACCCTATCAAATGTAAGATGAAAAGTTCAATCGATGAAACTGAATGCGAGAGTTCTTTCTGCAGAAGTGACGACGTCTTAGTTTTTTTGTAAGAAAAATGTTATGTCCTTAGGAAAATTCAAATGTCTTTTACTCTTCTCACTTGTTTTAGTGGAAAATTAGCTATATTTTCTCAACATTTTTTAAACGTTTTCTTATGTTTTTTTGTTTGTTTGCTCCTATTCGCCTCTGTTAATTTTTTTACTGTTGTCATAACGCCATGAGACTTGGTATGATGGTCAAACTAACAATTGTGAATAGTTTTGTTCTTCATACGTGACATCGTAAAATTACGCATTCAGCAGTTTTTATTTTTTCTCGACTTCCGATTTTTTTAGGATTGTGTTGTATCGCTTCTCTTGGCCTCTGTGTTATTGTTATTTTGATTCCGAAAAAGTTCGAAAATTGTCTATGTCGAGATAAAAATTGCTCTGAGCTCCTGAGTTAGTTTTGTTGCTATATTTTTTTCTCAAATTGTGATGGTTGGAACTTTCTTTACTGGTTGCATAGTAATCGGCTATCCTTATTGTTCCGATCATTTCACGCGATGAGAGATTCAATTATCGATTAAATTTTCCTTATTGAACTCTCAATTAACTTTTCACAAAAACGTCACAAGTTTTCACAATTGAAAGGCTATTATTGCCTCTCATTCTTGCATTGTTTCAACCTATTCATGCGTACTCGGTCTAAAAAATACAGGTTATATTGGCAGAGAAGTTGACAAAGAAATTTTTTTCTTTTCGATGATTTTCGCATATTCAAGCGTTAGCGTACGTGTTGTTGCTGTTTGTAGATGCAAACGGAGTAATTGTCCAACTTGTTTGTTCTGTATTTCCTTTAATTCACTATGCATGATTGTGGAGATCCATACACAATGACAAGGGGAAAAGCTACGGTACAAATATCCTTCTTAACTGACGAATTCTGCAACTTCAGAAAAAAGCGGAAGAAAACAGCCTTCCGAAAGCTTCGATGTATACTCTTGCTCAGCTACGCTATGTAGACCACACAACTGAATCGCATATCTCTCCGGAATTGATAAAAACATCGAAAACAAATGCCTAGACTGTAACGTAGTCAACGTGACGTCGTACGTCATGTCTTTAATTGTCATTTGAAGCTGACCAACTTAAAAATTGACCTGTGGGACAACCCCGTTGAGTTTGCAAAATTGCTCAATTTACAATAATGGCTTGCTCATTTAGATATTATCTCGTATTTCTCTTATATCACACCTCGACATGGTTAACATGATTCTTTTCATTTGCAATAGTCATCTTCCTGTAATCGGGAACTTTTTCCCTGAAAACGTGCTACAAACGTACAAGTGCCAAAAATAAATTGCAGGCTCTTTCTCAAATGGTCTAGGGGCTGCACCCTAAAATCTGGGGTTCGATTCTCTGTCGGATTTTACATTGTTTCAGTTTGAATTTCAAAATTTTTCCGCGTAAAACTGAATTTTTTATCTGTGCTTATTCTTTTTTTGCTTATATTTGCTAGCTCTCCTTCAAAAGGTTGATTTTTTTATAGTTTAAACAATTTCTCTTATTATTGGCAGTCGTACTCTTATTTCATCAATTTACCGACTCGTAATGTGATTAATTTTTTTATTTTATCAAAATGCGTTTGGCCTAGTTAACTTTTTTTATCTCGTTTGAGATGCACATATTTAATGTATTTTTTGAATAATTAGGGCGGTTGTGGTGTAAACGTTTCAAATTTTTTGAAAACTTATTCTCTTGAAATTTTTATTTACAATATTTGCATATGACATCGGTTTCAGCTCAGTGCTCATCTTCCGTTGTATTGTTGGCCTAGTTTCTGCTCGGTATAAGATATTTAAAACATATTTAATGTTGGTGGTTACGCTTTCTGTTTTTCTGAAACCCAGTTTTATTTTTTATGTAAACTTAGTATTTTCTGTCTGATATTCTTTTTTGCTATATTGCAATGCTTGGCTTGTAAAGTTGTGTAAATTTCCGCTGCGCCTCCCTTGAAATTTTTTGGTTTTGCTATCTATCGCTATTTTTTCATTTAGCAACAAAGTTTCGAATCAGCAACCGTTTCTATATCTATCTAGTATATTTTTGAATGCTTCTATCACTATCTCCCTATATGTGGTCAGAACAGTTTGCGCTACTTGTCAACATCCTGTGTACCAGGTTTTGAGTGTTCTGTAAATTATCTCGAAAAGTCTTCATAGTTCTAATTAAGTGGTGCTGTGACGCCTAATCTATTATATATTTAAATGCGGGCTTCACTATCTCGCCATGTTTAAGCTTTTTCAACATATTATTTTTGCATGTTTAAGCTATGTCGTATATTGTAATGGTTAAGATTTTTTTTTCGATTTTCCAATTCAATTTTAGTGATTTTTCTTACCGAGTTTGAATGAAGCAGCCCAATATCGAATTAGTCGTTGCGAATTTGGCTTCCATTTTTGACTGCCCGAATCATTTTAGTTAACGAGATAAGACGATTTTTGAGAATTAACTGACGAATTCTGCAACTTCAGAAAAAAGCGGAAGAAAACAGCCTTCCGAAAGCTTCGATGTATACTCTTGCTCAGCTACGCTATGTAGACCACACAACTGAATCGCATATCTCTCCGGAATTGATAAAAACATCGTAAACAAATGCCTAGACTGTAACGTAGTCAACGTGACGTCGTACGTCATGTCTTTAATTGTCATTTGAAGCTGACCAACTTAAAAATTGACCTGTGGGACAACCCCGTTGAGTTTGCAAAATTGCTCAATTTACAATAATGGCTTGCTCATTTAGATATTATCTCGTATTTCTCTTATATCACACCTCGACATGGTTAACATGATTCTTTTCATTTGCAATAGTCATCTTCCTGTAATCGGGAACTTTTTCCCTGAAAACGTGCTACAAACGTACAAGTGCCAAAAATAAATTGCAGGCTCTTTCTCAAATGGTCTAGGGGCTGCACCCTAAAATCTGGGGTTCGATTCTCTGTCGGATTTTATATTGTTTCAGTTTGAATTTCAAAATTTTTCCGCATAAAACTGAATTTTTTATCTGTGCTTATTCTTTTTTTGCTTATATTTGCTAGCTCTCCTTCAAAAGGTTGATTTTTTTATAGTTTAAACAATTTCTCTTATTATTGGCAGTCGTACTCTTATTTCATCAATTTACCGACTCGTAATGAGATTAATTTTTTTATTTTATCAAAATGCGTTTGGCCTAGTTAACTTTTTTTATCTCGTTTGAGATGCACATATTTAATGTATTTTTTGAATAATTAGGGCGGTTGTGGTGTAAACGTTTCAAATTTTTTGAAAACTTATTCTCTTGAAATTTTTATTTACAATATTTGCATATGACATCGGTTTCAGCTCAGTGCTCATCTTACGTGGTATTGTTGGCCTAGTTTCTGCTCGGTATAAGATATTTAAAACATATTTAATGTTGGTGGTTACGCTTTCTGTTTTTCTGAAACCCAGTTTTATTTTTTATGTAAACTTAGTATTTTCTGTCTGATATTCTTTTTTGCTATATTGCAATGCTTGGCTTGTAAAGTTGTGTAAATTTCCGCTGCGCCTCCCTTGAAATTTTTTGGTTTTGCTATCTATCGCTATTTTTTCATTTAGCAACAAAGTTTCGAATCAGCAACCGTTTCTATATCTATCTAGTATATTTTTGAATGCTTCTATCACTATCTCCCTATATGTGGTCAGAACAGTTTGCGCTACTTGTCAACATCCTGTGTACCAGGTTTTGAGTGTTCTGTAAATTATCTCGAAAAGTCTTCATAGTTCTAATTAAGTGGTGCTGTGACGCCTAATCTATTATATATTTAAATGCGGGCTTCACTATCTCGCCATGTTTAAGCTTTTTCAACATATTATTTTTGCATGTTTAAGCTATGTCGTATATTGTAATGGTTAAGATTTTTTTTTCGATTTTCCAATTCAATTTTAGTGATTTTTCTTACCGAGTTTGAATGAAGCAGCCCAATATCGAATTAGGCGTTGCGAATTTGGCTTCCATTTTTGACTGCCCGAATCATTTTAGTTAACGAGATAAGACGATTTTTGAGATTTTTAAAAAAAATTGTTAGAATTTTCAAATAAAAAATTTATTTTCAAAACTTGAAGTTTCCAACCCTGTAGTTGGATCCTTTCAGACTGATCTCAAAGATTGCGAATCTTGCCTCCAAATATGACTGCTCAATTCTTTGTAGTTTTCGAGATATGACGTTTTGTTGGTGATTTTTTCAAAACTTTTCAGAAAATTTTAATTAATTATTTCTCAAAATTTGAAACTCCCAACCTTAAAGTTGCGTGCTGTCAGAGTACTCTTAGGAGTTACAAATCTTGCCTCCAAATATATCTGTTCAACTCTTTGTAGTTTTCGAGATATGACGTTTTTTGTGATTTTTGCAAAAAATTTTCAGACAACTTATAATAAATTTTTTAAGCAAAATCTGAAACTCCCAACCCTGTAGTTGGGCACTGTCAGAGTGATCTCAAAGATTGCGAATCTTGCCTCCAAATATAACTGCTCAATTCTTTGTAGTTTTTGAGATGTGACGTTTTCTGTGATTTTTTCAAAAATTTTCAGAAAGTTTAAATTATTTTTCAAAATTTGAAACTCCCAACGCTATACTGCGGTGTTGTCAGGGTGCTCTAAAAAGTTACAAATCTTGCTACATGTGAGTGCTAAACGGGAGTGCTCAATTCATTGTAGTTTTCGAGATATGACGTTTTTTGTGATTTTTTCAAAATTTTTCAGAAAACTTAAATTATTATGATTATTTAAAAATCTGAAATTCCTAACCTTGTAATTAGGTCTCGTCAGAGTACTTTCAAGGATTGCGAATCTTGCCTTCAAATTGGACTGCTCAAATTCTTGTAGTTTTCGAGACCTCATGTTTTTTGTGATTTTTCAAAAAAAATTTCGGAAAATTTTAATTAAATACTTTTTTTTAAAAATCTGAAATTCCCAACCCTGTAACTGGGTACTGTCAGAGTACTATAAAGGGTCGCGAATCTTGCCTCCAATTATGATTGCTCAATTCTCTGCAGTTTTCGAGATGTGACATTTTTCTGATTTTTTCAAAATTTTTAGAAAGTTTAAATTAATTATTTTTAAAAATTCCCAACGCTATACTTCGGTGTTGTCAGGGTACTCTAAAGAGTTGCAAATCTTGCTACATGCGACTGCTAAACGCGACTGCTCAAATGCTTTTAGTTTTCGAGATTGACGTTGTTTGATTTCTTCAAAATTTCTCTAGGAACTTAGCTACAAAGAAATTCAAAAAAATTGAAACTACCAACTTGATGAAGATAAAACCTTAATGTCAGCGTACACTCAGGCGTCTCAAATCTTGCCTCTTAATATCAATGCTCAAATCCTTTTAGTTTCCGAGCTAAGACGTTTTTTTTAAATTTTTTTCGGGAAACTTAGGTTTAAAAAAAATTCAAAAAATTTTGGATTCCTAACCCTATAGTAGGGTGCTCTCAGGGACTCTCAGTGGTTGCAAATCTGGCCTCCAAAATTCTCCAGAGGCCCATTAAGTTTTCGAGATGACGTTCTTAAAATGGGAATTAAAAAAGTTTGAAAGTTCGAAATTACCAACCCTGTAATTGGGTGCTGTCAGAGTACACTAAAAGTTTGCAGATGTTTTTCCAATGTATGCGGTTTTTTTCGTGAGTTCTCGAAAAATTTCGAAGCACCGAAGGTGCGTTAAGCGCTAGTAACGTTTAACTGATATGTGCTTGTCAAGAGAGTCGGATTTCAAGATTAATGACAATCCCGCCCCTATCAACCTTGAATAGTAAAGGTTATTAGGTTTGTTGAGTAAATAATATCCTCAGAGTTTTGCTGGTAGCTAGTTTTCATGTCGATATGGCACAAAGACAGCATAATTCTGCAAATTAGAGGTTACCTTCAGACTGTCATTTGGCTTTAGGGGCCAGGCCTCTAGCCTCTCTTAACGAAGGCTGAAGGCTTGTCCTCCTTTAGAGAGGCAATTTCATTAAATTGACACAAAGAATATCGCTAAATTGAAGAGTTAAAAGAAAAGTGAGTACGGCTAGGTTGTTCATTTAATCGCAAGGTAGGACTAGATTGTTCAGTAATGTGTCCTTTCTGTCCTCATAAAATGATCAGAAAATTTCACACAATAATCAGACAACAATTTTTCTGTCAAGAAATCAAAAATATATTTGTTTTTGACTTCACAGAATAATCAGACAATAATTTTTCGGTGAAGAAATCAAAAATATATTTATTGAATAATATATATTTGATGGGACAGTAAATAAGAAGTTATGATAGGGTTTTTAGCACATTCATTTGTTAATTTATAGTGCTGAAATATATCAGTGAGTCATGAAAAATTTGGGAAGTGAAATTCGCATCCCATATTTCTCGATGCAGAGCCCTTTATTGAACATGATACTGCTATCGGAACCTTGAATAAAAATTTAAATTCAACAGTTGAAAAACTTCAAAGCTACCACTAGATTGTATATTCTGAAAGGAATCTGATAGAGTTGGGCTTTTCGCTTTAAGGCAAAGTTTTTAAAGTCAAAAAGATTGCCGATCCATCTTTCAAATTGTCAAAAATTAAGAGGCTAAAAGATTCTCGGTGTGTTCTTACCTGTTCGTGTGCTCTTATTTTAAAACCTCATGTGTTTTCTGCTGTCATGGCTTTCAATTCAGCAAATAGACAACCAAATAAATCTAATGTGAAGGTTACTGTAACAACTGAACAGAAAAAGGAGCAAATGGACAACGGAACTAATGAAATGTGAAGGTTACTGTAACAACTAAGGAACATGTGAATTCTTTAACGGAATGTTTTTCGTATCATTGTAAGTAAAAATGAAGTTTCAGCTGTTTTATGACGTGTGCCTGTTAGAAAAACTATCGTTTTGTTATTTACAACTTAAGAAATTAGATCGGTTAGTCATTTGATAAGCCTGGTTAATTAAAGCGTATTTGTTTTCTTTATTTGGTTATAAAGCGAGAGTGACTCGAAAGTAATTAGAGCTCAAAGTTTTTATAATTTTGTGAAAATTATGTAATCAATTTTTTTGTGTTCAAGATACTGTGTACTTGTGGCTGACTATCAAAAGGTAATGGAAAAAATATTTATTGAATTGAAAACAAAACTTGATAATTATCGTGAATTAAAACTTGTTGATTTTCAGATAGTATGAGTTTAACCGTTCAGACCGTCTCTACCACACCATTTGCTGACCAGAAGCCGGGCACTAGCGGACTACGCAAGAAAGTCAAGGTCTTCCAGCAAACCAACTACCTCGAGAACTTTGTCCAATCAACATTCAATGCCGTCGGAGAATCTGTCATTAAAGGAGGACACTTGGTGTTAGGTGGTGACGGAAGATACTTCAACAAACATGCAGTCGAGGTCATCCTGAAAATGAGTGCTGCCAATGGTGTCAAAAAGGTCACTGTAGGTCAACACGGGATCTTCTCAACGCCGGCTGTATCTGCAACTATTCGGAAACTGGGAGCATCTTCAGGAGGAATTATTTTAACTGCCAGCCACAACCCAGGTGGTCCAGATAATGATTTTGGAATCAAGTATAATATCACGAACGGAGGACCGGCGCCTGAAAAAATTACAAGTGCTATTTTTGCGCAGTCTAAAGAGATTGCAGAATACAAAATATGCCCTGACTTGACGGTGGATGTTTCGAAAATCGGAAGTTGCAGTTTGCAGATCGAGGGTCTGTCTTCTTTCGAAGTTGAAATTGTTGATAGTTGTGACATCTATGTGGCACTGATGAAAGAAATCTTCAATTTTGAGCAAATCGAGTCATTTTTGAAGAACTTCAAACTGAACATTGATTGTCTGAACGGAGTAACTGGACCCTACGCAAAAAGAATTTTCGTCAAAGAACTGAAATGTGACGCGAAAAGCGTAGTGAACTCTGAGTCTCTTGAAGACTTCGGTGGTCTTCATCCGGATCCAAATTTGACATACGCAAAAAGCCTCTTAGATATGATGAAACTAGGAGAGCATGATTTTGGCGCGGCCTTTGACGGAGACGGAGATCGAAACATGATTCTGGGAAAAAATGGATTCTTCGTCAACCCAAATGACTCATTAGCGGTCATAGCTGCAAACCAAGACTGTATACCTTATTTTAAGAATAAAGCAGCAGCCGGTTTCGCAAGATCAATGCCAACAGGTGCTGCTGTTGATTTGGTCGCCCAAAAAAAAGGTAAAAAGTGTTTCGAAGTTCCGACAGGCTGGAAGTTTTTCGGAAATTTGATGGACGCCGGCTTGATCAACCTCTGTGGCGAGGAGAGTTTTGGAACCGGTTCGGACCACATTCGTGAAAAGGATGGAATTTGGGCTGCTCTTGCCTGGCTGCAAATTTTATCCTCACAGAGTGCAGAGAAACAGTCGGTCGAAAAGGTCGTGCGAGGCCATTGGAATGAATTTGGGAGAAATTTCTTCACGAGGTACGATTACGAAGAGGTTGAATCATCCGCGGGGGCCAAGGTCATGTCTAACGTGGAACAGCAGTTGACCTCTCTCAAAGGTCAAAGTTTTGAAGCTATGGGCGTTAAATATACTGTTGCACTAGCCGATAATTTCTCCTACAAGGATCCAGTTGATGGAAGTCTGACTGAGAAACAGGGCCTGAGAATTGTTATGATGGATGGATCTAGAATCATATTTCGTCTTAGTGGAACCGGTAGTAGTGGGGCTACGATTCGATTGTACGTCGACTGTTTTTCGAGTGATGCTGAGTTGTTTGACCAGGATTCGGTAGTTCTGAAACCGCTGGTCGAGATTGCACTGAAAATATCCGACTTGGTTCAGGTTACTGGCCGACAGGAACCATCCGTGATCACTTGATTGACTTATAACTGATACCTAAAAAAACAAGGCATAAATTTCAAATAACCAGCAGAAATATTTTGAGCACCTCCGCGTTTTAAATTAACTATTCCGATTCATTTTAATTTCCGTTTCTTCGCTTCTTTCCTTTGTTTTTTTTTATTAGTCTACTCAAAAGTTTTCGTTTATTTCACATCTGCTTGACTACTTCACATTTCGTCGTTTGACGACCGAAAAAGATTTCTGATGCGTAAGTGGTTTTTGAGGATGGACTCAAAAACGTTTATTCACGGCAAATTGAGCCAAAGATATGAAAATTTTGGTAGATTATTTTTTTTCCATTTTTTTTCTTCAAAAAAATCGAATTTGCCGCTTTTGCCTCATTTTTTATCGGCTAGTTTGTCTACTGTGTGTGTTTTATTGCATATGGCTCGAAGCACAGTTTTACCTCGAAGCACAGTTTTACCTCGAAGCACAGGGTGAAAAAGTTATGCCTAGTTTTTTATGATGAACTGAGTGTAGTTTGTATTGAAATATTAACTGTAATTGGTTTGAAACTATTTTTTCTATTCGCCTACTTCATTGGAGCTAGGAATTTATCTTGTGCACTATTATTTTGCATTGGATTTGTAATCAGCTACTTGCAATAACCATGATTGGAATCTAATCTTCATAAAGTTCTAATTAATAAGCTGGTGCTACACTCACTAAATCTATAATCAAGTTTATTAATTCGTTGTTTTTTCTTCTGTGAGTGATGATTGTGGCGTTTTCTCGACTGTAAGTGCTTTAATTATGATATATCTCTCGACCCACTCTGATGATTTTTTATGGTATCTGATCTTGCGTGGAACAGAAAAAGAAAAAAAACTAAAACACCCGAATACAAAGTTCCTCCCGATTTTCAATGGTCGGAACAATAAAATAATAATAATATGAAATGAAATAATATAAAATGATAATAAAAGTTATAATAAAAAAGCAATATGGAATATGAGTTTATATTCAAAAGTGGATTTTTAGTTTTTAAGATTTTGCGACAAAAAAACTTTCTCAATTGATCCAGTTTTCTTACTTTGGCTACTAGTGTTATGGAGAAATCAGTAATAATTATTGCGTAAAATTTTTGTAATTTCCTCTATTAAACTCAATAATTGAAATCGAAAAAGTCTTATCTTTCGGTTTGTTGAGCTCATTGAACTTATGTATAATGTCTCTTTTTTTCTCAAATAAACTGATAGCAGTTTTTCCTTGAAATGTGTTTGTGTTCCGCAAATGTGTTGTGTTCCGCTCACATATAGCATTGCATTTTGTTTTCAGGTAATTTTTTACGATGATTCGGGCCCTTAAAAGACTTATGAGGTTGAGCGATCTATCATGTTTCAGCGTTTTCAGAGTTAATTTAGGCTGAAAACTTTTTTATTACCCCGAAAAAAACAGCCTGAACTATTTTGCGTTCAAGGTTGATGTTATAAAATGGCAAATAATTTGGTGAATTTTGCTACCTTAATAATTTTGTTCCTTACGCAAACAAGCGTTTGTTTTTTAATACGAGTCCACTTTTTTCAACTGAACTTGCATAATTTTTTGCTCAATTTCATAGACCAGCATTTTAAAAGCATGTTTTGTTCAAAGCTCATTCACTAGCTTGTATTATCTTGACTTTTTAAAGCTCCCATTCACCATTTTAAAGATTATTTGCAAATTACAGCTTCTTTTCGTTGTTATTGATGCTTGTGTTATTTAGTTCTTCTGAACCCAAATTTCCTTATCTCACAGTTTCAAAACAGTAGACTAAAAACTTTTAAAAACTCGGAAAAAAGGAATAGGAAGTGTGGTTTTATCGTATCGAGTGATATATTTACTTACGATCGCAATTAATTTTTAGGGTAAATAACTAGTTAAACAAAGTATTTGGGCCAGCAGTTGATATGTATGGGGGTTTGGGAAATTAGACGACAAGCAAATTAGACGACCAGAAAATAACGGAGTTTAGACGATAACTTGCGTACAAATTGCTTGAAGTTTGCTTACAGACTTCAATGAATTTTTGAGAAAAGACTGGTTGTCCAACCACAAATTAGGTTATTAATTTCACAGTTGTATAATTTATGCAATCCAAAAATGTAATTTACTGTTTCGATTTAATGTTTTCTGCTTCACTTACAATCACATTTTTGATCAGTTTTTTTTATTATATAGTTTTTTGTTTTTGTGTAATTTCATTCTAAATAAAAAAAATTTGTTGGCCCGGTTCTTATTGTCTAAATTCACAAATAGTTATCATCTATTTTCTGTTTTTTACGGTCGTCTAATTTGCTTGTCTAGCTTCCTAGGCCCAATATGTATGTTTTGATGGACTGTCTGGCCAACAGATAATGTTTCTGTAATTTAAATAGCCGTTCTATTCGAAACTCTTTTCTTTTTAATTAAAAATCTGCTTAGTTTGGATATCGCCTTTTAAACGACCGAAATATTTCAATTCATTTGTGCTTCGTTGAGTGGAAAGGGGCTTCAAACTTTGGAAATTCAAAATTTTTGATACCTATAAATTTTCATAACATTTTTTTTCGACTAAGCGGTTGTATACCGAATTATTGCCTAGTTACCATTCCATTACACTAGCGAACAGCTTAGCTTATAATTACGAACCTTCTTCTTTTCTAAGCTAACTCGCAAATAAAATTGTTCACAGCATCTGTTCATAGCATCTGTTCTGTGAGTTATTTGAGGCTAGTGTTTGTGATTAATTGAGCGTCCGTGGCTGAGTGGATAGTGCGTGATACTCATTATATGTAGGTCGCAGATCGAATCAGAGCACGAGCCGAATTTTACTAGTTTGAGGCTTATTTCGACTTCTTATTGCACTTTACAGAGCTGCTTTTTGTCGTGTTCTCGCTATTTTTTGGGAAGCGAAGCCTCGCCTCTATGTAAATTTTGTTTCAATATTATTTTAACATTGGCAATTGTGGTTTTTTTTTGTTGTTTTTTTCACTCCCGATTTCTAGCTGCCGTGCTATTTTGTATTGTATCGCTAGAGGAGTGAAGAAGATCCGCTGCGCTTCTGTGCTAAAGCTCCGTCAGGAGTCACATAGAGGAGGTACTTGGGTTAGTTTTATCTTAAAAGAGGTGATCATTGAATACTGTTGAAATTCGAAAAAATTGCGTGTTGTCAATCTTTTTTTTCCGTTTTTTAGTTCATTGAAACTTTTACTGTTGATTATGTGTTTCCTCACCCTTAAATCACAATATTTTATTTCAGTTGTAGAATGTAGATGTAGCAAAACGTTTTGTTGGTATATTTAGCATATAATTTTATAAAGTCGCAATACCTGGTCACATCACAAGTAAAAGAAAACTTAATTGATCGCATAGTTAGAATATCATATCAAATAATACATTCCTAGACAGTTAAGGACCAAATTTGTACAAATGACCATGAAAGACGAGCTTTTGCATGATCTTAAAAAGTGTATCGTCAACCTCAAAACGAAAACAGACTTACTTCAAGCATCCAATGAGCCGAACAATCAGTGGTCTTTGCAGATAGCCGAAAACAAAGCCAGTGAGACAATTAACTCAGGAAAAGAGGAGACCAATTTGTTAATTGATATAACACCAGATGACCAAAATTTAGTTCCAGCAGGTGATATTGCTGAGAACTCAGTTTCAGATAGTTTCCGACAAGCTTCAGAGCTTGAATCAAACTTGGCATCGAACCAATCACAAAAAGTGCCTTTAAACGAAAAACTATCCCAAAATGTAAACGGGTCGCCCAATAAAAACAGATACTGTCCACCTCATATAAAAAAGCTGGGCATTATCCGAGATTCGGAACCGGATTTGAGGAAGCTCTGCGTTATGATCGAAAAAGTGTTTCGACGTGGACTGAGACAACAGAACACAGTGTTTGGTATTGTGAAAAAAGACTACTGGTCCTGGATCGAGTTGTTAGCTGAGAGCAGAATAAATGTGAATCCTCATTTGCAGATCATAGTGAGCAAAATCAAAGACTCTGGTAAGTTTCTAACCGCGCAAGGACGTGGTAGATGTTTTATCAGAGCTGCCCTGAACAAGAAAATCTTAGCTCTTCCAATTCAGTTGCTTTATAAAAGTGGCGAGTTGTTGTACTCATTATATGATCCTCTGACAGCTATTTTCACTAACGAGGATTCAAGAGAGTTCATAATTGGAGTGTTTTCGCTGTTGAACAACATGGAGTTCGATTTGAGAATCAGGAATGCGAGCTTCTTAGATGAGACGTGGGAGTTGCCGATGTTTAGACAAATTGAACTGGTTCCCTCAGAGGATTTGGGGCTCACTATTAGGTATGTCCAAGCGAGGGCCCTAGTAGTGGACTTGGATGAGTATGGTGTGGCGGCCGAGGATGGAAAAGTTCAGGTGTGTAAGAATGGAACCTTTCTTCGAAAAATTAATTATATAGAAAAAATTTGCGCCCGTAAAAACAATCAATTTTGCAGAAATTCTTGACAAAGAAGTTTTACCAAATTAAGTCTGGTTCCAAGAAATTTTCTACTTTGCTGCAAGTTTTATCGCCACCATGGTGACCCCTTGGTCTTTTAAAAGGAGACCAGTCTTTGAATGGTCTCCAATTGGTCTCTTTTTTCTTGAAAATTGCTCTAAGTCTCTTTTTCTGTGTCGGTTTTTATGTGAATTCCTTGTTCTTTTGTTTTCACCGTTTAACACTTAATGTTTTTCTTTCCGAAAACGGTTTTTATTATCGCTTTCCGTGTTAAAACACAGGTCTCTTTTTTCCGCGTAAAATTGGTCACCCTGATCGCCACCTTTAAGCGTAAAAGTACGATATGCGTACAATGTAGAAGGGTTTCTATGGTTGACATTACCCGCTGAATACTGACTCAAAACAAGAGTACAGAAAAGGATAATTTAAATTAATAATCAGTAAACATATAAACAGAATTCTTTAATCGGATACTTGAGGTTTGGAGCATGCCTACAACCCCACCCCCTTCCCCATATGTATACAAAGTGAGCATTCTCCCCCTAAAGTTAAATGGCAAATTCAAGCTATAAGGCTATTATCTTTTTAATCTTTTGTTCCATTCGTTGAAGGTGGGAGATGTGCTTGACGAAGTGCATCAGGTGTCCGTGTATGACTCCAAGCCAGGGGCCATACATCAGATACTTCAGGACCACTCTGGCTGGCCAATCACCATAGGTGTCGTCAAGTCCAGAGTAGCCGTGCCCACGTCGGACAGGAACAGCGGGGGCGGTGAGATGGAGTGGCACTTCTTCCCGCCCATCGAGAAGAGACTGAATGAGGTTTCCCGAGGGGTATTCTCATGATGAAAAGAACGAATGGTGGAAAAGTTTTAACCAATCAGAGTCGTTAAACGTTCCTATTGGCTAAATGACTTTGCTCAACCAAAACATTTTTAAAAGAAATTGAATTTTATCCTCCAAAACAATGTAAAACTTAACCCATTTTTGTTTGATAGACAAAAAATGTCTTTTTCACTAAATAAAACGCCCGTTTTTTATTTGAAACCGTTTTTAAAAGTTTTCGGAAATTTTTAGGAGATCATACTTTTTAAAACTTCTTGCTACGTAAGAGACTAACTTCGATTTAATTTAGTCAGTAAATGGTTAGGTATTTTTTTGCGTTGTTTTTGATTAACTATAAAAGGCAAAAATGATCCGTTTTGGGGGTAAATTTTACGATCCAATTTTTGCAAAACAAATTGCAACATGATTTCTGTTGAAATTAGTTTTGTCCTCATCGTTTTTCACCTTAACCAGTTTGAGAAAAACGCGTTTTAAATTCCAAGTTTTTTTGCGTTTTGGTTAATTGAAATAAGCACTAGCAGCAGAGCGAAGTTGAAATTAATTTTTGTTAAAATGTTCCTTTTTTCTCATCATTTTAAGGTTCTATCCAATACCGACTTCGATTTCGCAATATTTGAAGATGCATGGATCTGCTAGTTTTTAAATCAATTCTGATTTTTTGATTTCTTTGAGAATACTCAATTTTGATGGGCTGAAAACTACTTTCCAGCATTCGGTCCCTTCATCATGAGCGACGTTAACAGGTGTCCCACGCTTTCCCGAAAGTGAAAAAACTCTTGGATTCCCAAGGAAAAGACCAAAATGGGGCTTCAGTTGAGACTACTGTTTGTATTGAAGGTACATATAAAGAGTCAAAATATACTCTCATTGAATGAAGACAAAGCAATATTACGCTAACAAAGTTCTAGCTGTTATGACTATTAGCCAATATATTCAATAAGCATTACAATTAACAGCTTTAGATACATTTGGATGTTGATTTTTTTTAAATTTAGGGAAGCAATACTGGCGCTGTAATTTCATCGGCAAACGAGAAATAGGGTCACAAGGGGGCTCACAGCTGATCGAACCGACAATCCAGTCCATGCTCAAAGAGAGACAAAAGAAAAACGACCAACAAGTCTTCCTCGCAGCATACGAAGCCGACGTCACAGTTCTCGCTTCCCGCAAGGATCAGTCAGATCCGAACTCGACGGCGTCATCACTGCCGACTACTACTAGTGACCTTTTATGGAACCACTCGTTTCCCGAAATTAGTTCGTGTGGACGAAGAGTTGACTCTTCGGAATGCTTTGCTTACATAGTGGGAAATGATATTTGCAATGTTGCTACTCAGTTCACAGCTTATTTATTTGAAGCTCCTACCTCCGAAATCAGCCGAGAGATCCTGCAGAATATTGCACAGGGGTTCAAGCGTACGACTTGGCTTACATAGTTCTTCCACAAAACAAGAATTGTTTGAATAAACTCAAGGCTCTTCTTAAATATTGAGTTCAATTTTTTTCAATGTTCAATTGACATTATGGTTTTGTTTTCATTGAAACAGAAACTCGAATTTTAATATTCGAAAGTAAATTTAAGAAAAGCCACAGAGTCGACAGCATTAATTTTGCTTCGCAATTTATCAGCCCAGTCATCCTCACTTGTATTATCATCTAGTAACTTATCTTATAATAATATGTCTTCTGCATGACTCAGCTATTTTCTGTGTTAAAGATCAAAAATGGTCAAACATGAATTTATGTGACGAAGAAAATTTAACCTATTGATTCACCTCATTAGCAGCTTTGATAACACATACGAGAGCAAGTATATTGTAACCGTGAGCTAGATTTTTTTCTATGAACAACTCTGTTACAAATCTCGCGTGGAGGCTGAAGTTGTGAATTCATGGTGACATGCAGAGACACGTGCAAGCTGATGTTCAAAAGTTTTTCTGGATTTTTGAAATTCATCTACTGATTTTGAATATTTTTCTGTTATTTTATTGAAAAAATGTTCTAGTTCTTTTTGATTTTATGCCTTCAGCCTATGCTAACTTGCTTAAGACAGCTCCTTTGCGTAAATTGGAAGGCAGATTAAATTTTGACTTCTGCGGTGTTTCTAGGGGGATGGGTTTCAAGTTTGCCTTTCTATGGCAAAAATCTTGCTTCCGGCCGAATGGGGGTCGACCCAAGTCAATTGGTTTTGATTTTCTTTGTTAAGAAAAAAAAAATTTTGTTATTTTTGATTTTGCTTTCAGCCTATGCTAACTTGCTGAAGACAACTCTTTTTGGTAAATTGGAAGGTAGATTAGTTTTTGATTTTTGCAATTTTTCAAGGGGGATGAGTTTCAAGTTTACCTTTCTGTGGCCAAAATCTTGCTTCCCGCCACACTGCTTATTAAACCTAAATGATACAAACGAAACTGAATTGAGACAAACGCTTCAAGTTTTGTAGGAATTTTTTATTTTCAATGTTTTTCATGTAGTTTTTCATTAATGCCGTAGACGAAGACAGATTGTTTTGCAGGGAATATACCATAATCGTTAGCAAACTTTTCTCAAACAAAATAATTTGGTTGGTAGTGCATTAACAACCCAAAAAAAGGCATCTGAATTGATTGAGGGCAGCTTATTAGCTTTGCCCGAAAGCCTTCGACCATCTACGATAACTCGCCGGATGATATCAAGCAACTTGGGACGAGTTTTGGATCCCTGTAACGATATTGCCGAAGATTTTTCTCGAAAAACATGGGATTGAGATTTGGAATGAGATGTCGATTTTGGGGGCAAATACAGCGTACCAATTCCATTACTGGATGGATACCTTAGCTCTTTCGTCTTCTCTGGCTGTTTATTGGTACTTGGTCAACGAGAGCTTTCAGCAAGGCGATACATTGGAGATGACTCATAGAAAAATGAAATCAGTTCATCTGGACGAAGATTTGACTTTTCGGAATGCTTTGCTTCGATTTTGGGAAATCATATTCGCAATGTTGTTACTCAGTTCGCAGCTTATTTGTTTGAAACAACTACATCCGAAATCAGCCGAGAGATCCTGCAGAGTGTTTCACAGTGATTGAAGTGTACGACTAGGCTGACATAGTTTTTCCACAAAACACGAATCATTTGAATAAATACGAGGCAATTCTTAAATCTTGAGTTCATTTTTTTTAATTGCTCCATTGACATGGTTCAATTTTTGTTGATGCAACAGAAACGCGCATTTTCTAATTTGAAAAGAAAGGCCATGTAGTCAACAGCATTGGTTGTGCTTCGCAATTCATCTGCCCGTTCATCCACACTTGTGTTATCATCTAGTAACTTAGCGTATAATGATTTTTCTACTTTACTCAGCTTGTTAAAGAATATAAATCGGCACACCTGAATTTTTGTTCAACCTATTTAATAGTCGATTAGCCACTTTTGCCACCTTCTTCACAATCTCCCCTTTCCTCGCAATCAGCATCGACAATTTCACCTCATCCGTCTTTTTCTCACAAAACCGAATTTCAACTTCATCTGAAATATAAAAAGATTGATCAAAGATCAATGGGGCGCTAAAACTTTCAGTTTGAAAAAAAAGTGTTTTAATGCGATTTTTTGTTAAGAAAGGTTGAAAGATTTTTGAAGCTTCTTTTTCGGTTTGTAGTGGTTTAAGTAGTTTTGTTCCGGACATTTGCTCCGGAAGACGAAGAAAGATAAAACAACATTAAATTATATAAACAAAGCAGATCACAGACAAAAAACTAAATTAAAAGCATTCATCAGCCATCCAACTAATATTCTCAGCATCCACCCAAGATCATCTTTCCGACACTTCCAAAAACGATGTCTCAGGGGCTTCGTCCACCATCTCCAGCCGCCTGAGGACCACCCGACGCTCCCAGTTCACTTTGCCATCTTCACAATCTCTCCCTTCCCCGCAATCAGCCTCGGCAATTGCACCTCAGCCGCCCTTTTCTTACAACAATCGAATTTAATCTCCATATCAAATATGAAAAGACTGATCAAAGATCAACGGGTGGCTTAAGTTTCAGTATAAAAATAAATTGTTTTAAAGTAAAGAAAGGTTGAAATATTTTGAAAGCCTATTTTTAGGTTTTTAGTCGTACAAGTAATTTTGTTTCAGATGCTTGTTCCGAAAGACGACGAAAGATAAAAGAAAAAATATTTTATAAAAACAGATCAGTCAAAAACAAAATTTAAAAGCATTCGTCAGTCATCCAATTGCTATCCTCGTCATCATCCGAAATTTATTCTCCCGCACTTCCGATAACGATGTTTCCCATTCATCTCCTTTTTCATCGCAGGATCAGGGGCTGCATCCACCAAGTCCAGCCGCCTGAAGACCACCTGACACTCCCAGTTCTTTTTCGCCACCTTCTTCTCAATATCCACCTTCCTCGCAATCAGTCCGTATAATTTCACCCCATCAGCCTTTTTCTGACAAAAACCGAATTTCATCTCCATATGAATTGTGAAACGATTGATCAAAGATCAACGGGTTGCTAAAGTTTCAGAATAAAAATAAATTGTTTTAAAGCGATGTTTTGTAAAGAAAGGTTGAAATGTTTTAAAAGCGTATTTTTAGGTTTTAGTGGTACAAGTAATTTTGTTTCGGATGTTTGTTCCCAAAGACGACGAAAGTTAAAAGAAAAATTATTTTATATAAACAAAACAGATCACAGTCAAAAACAAAATTTAAAAACATTCGTCAGTCATCCAATTGCTATCCTCATCATCATCCGAAACTTATTCTCCCGACACTTCCGATAACGATGTTTCCCATTCATCTTCTTTTTCATCACAGGATCAGGGGCTGCATCCACCAAGTCCAGCCGCCTGGGGACCAGCCGACACTCCCAGTTCGTTTTTGCCACCTTGTTCCCAATCTCCACCTTTCCCGCAATCAGACCCATAATTTCCTCTCACCAGCTTTTTTCTTACAACAACCGAATTTCATCTCCATCTGAAATGTGAAAAGACTGATCAAAGATCAACGGGCACTTAAACTTTGTTTGAAAACCAAATGTTTTAAAGCAATTGTTTATTCAGAAAGATTGAAAGGTTTCTAAAGTTTCTTTTTCAGTTTTTAGTGGTACAAGTAATTTTGTTCCTGACATTTGCTCCGGAAGACTACGAAAAATAAAAAAAGCAATAAATTATATAAATAAAGCAGATCACAAACAAAACAAAAATTAAAAACTTTCTTCAGTCATCCAACTGCTATCCTCATCATCCTCCCAAACTCATGCTTCCGACACTTCCGAAAGCGATGTTTCCGGTTCATCTTGTTTTTCAGGGGCTGCGTCCAAAATCTCAAGCCGCTGAGGACCACCCGACATTCCCAGTTCATTTTCGCCACCTTCATCACAATCTCCCGCTTCCACGCTATCAGCCTCGTCAATTTCGTTCACCTCGCCCGCCTTTTTCTCACAACAACCGAATTTAATCTCCATATGAATTGTGAAACAATTGATCAAAGATCAACAGGGCGCTAAAATTATCAGTTTGAAAATAAAATGTTGTAAAGCGTCTTCTTGTTAAGAAAAGTTGAAAGGTTTTTTAAGCTTTTTTCTAGTTTTTAGTAATACAAGTAGTTTTGTTTCGCACCTTTGCTCCGGAAGACGACGAAAAATAAAACAAAAAACAAATTTGATAAACAAAGCAGATCACACACAAAAACAAAGTTTAAAAACTTTTATCAGTCATCAAAGTACCATTCTCAGCATCCCCCAGACTCATCCTTCTGATACTTCCAAAAATGTTGTTTTCGAATCATCTTGTGTTTCACCACAGGACCAGGGACTGCGTCCACCAACACTTACCGCCTGAAGACCACTCGACACTCCTCTCTCTCTCTCTCTCTCTCTCTCTCTCTCTCGGGTATTCACCCTGTTAGGGTCCCCCATGTCGCTTTCTACAGCTTCTGGTCATATGTCTCGCTAGGTTGGTTGCTGAGAACAATTTATTGCACAGTGAAATTCCTTTGTTGCCGGGACGTACTTGGTAGGGCTTGTTGTTCCTCGACATTTCTTTTCGTGATTCTTCAGGTTTGTTTTCGTTGGGAATTTGGCGTGGCATTTGATGCACGTATGTTCTGCGTTGTTCTCTCTGTGCATTCTTCTTATATGCACTGCCTGACCAGCTCTAGATTTGCAGACTTCCTCGCATTGGCTACATCCGAGATTGGCGCTTTCCTTTCTTTGGGAGCGTTCTATCATGCCTCCTTTCCATCCATTCTCTTGGGATTCCTCCCATCTTTCCAGATGTGTCATTCTGTTCTTTATAATCTTTTTCCATTGCTTTCTGTCTTTTGCCATCTCTTCGATATCTAGTTGGTCAATTCCTGCTTCGCACATCAATTTGATCCATTGTCTGGGAGTACAACGGTACTTCGCTCTCGGTTTTTCAGTTTCTTCTAACTTGCTTAACCAACCAAAAGTTACTTTCTTCACTCTTCTGTCGTCGGGCATACGTATCATATGTCCTAGGCGTTCCATACTCCGTTTTTCGATTTTACTTCTGACTGATTTTATTCTGAGTTCTTTCCTTACATTCCACCTGTTTTTGTGTTTTTGATCCATTTCCTTCAGCGGTGGTTGGGTTTTTGAACTCCAAAAATAACGGTAACATTGGTCTACTTTCCTTTGGTTTCTGTTTATTTCTGACACATTCCAGGTCCGTACTTGGCAGTTGTACAACATGGTGCTTTCTACTACTGCCTCAACTACACGCGCTTGCGTTCTTTTAGTTAACCTTGAGTTTTTGAGGCGTCTTTTGACCTTTGTCCAAGCTCCCATCCCGCGTTGTAATCGTACTCTTGTGTCTTCAGCTTCTCCCAGCCAAAGGCCCAAGAATCTGGTTCCTGCCGCACTGGTTTCACCAAGAGTTATGTTTTCCTCTTTAGATTCGTTTGTCTTCTCTTCGAAGAGGCCCATTACTCTTTTGGTGGTGTCTCTTGCGACATCCATACTTTCCTTATTACTCAAGATAGTAGTGTCGTCAGCGAACAAGGCGTATTTGAGGTCTATATGCTTCGCTTCAGCATTTTGTTTGTCTCTCCTTTGTGTCATGCAGGTGTTTCCAGGTACATAAGTGATTCTTATTCCATTGTCTTCCCTTTGTTTTTCTGCTGCTCTTATTGTGATCTGATGAAATATGTTGAAAAGCATTGGGGAAGAAGGACATCCCTCCCTCAATCCTCTTTGAGGTGTCCATTCGGAGCTAACTTCCTTATTACCTTTCACTTTGTAAGAAGTTACTTCGTGTAGGTCCTTTAATCGTCCTAGAAAATTTTCTTCGAACCCATAACTTTTCAGTATTTTCCACAATAGTGGTCGATTGATTCTTGGATAAACTTTTCTCAGATCTAATAGGCACTCTTGGTCTCTATTCAGACTTTGTGATTCGCATATCCTTCGGTTATCTTCCTGTAGTCTGACCATTATTTGGGTGGTGTCGGCCGTAGATCTGTGTTGTCTAAAACCATCGGTTATCATCTAGGGCGCCAAATTCCTCGCCCCAATCCCGGAGTCGTGTTGTTAAAATTCTAGCGAGAATTCAGCTCACCATGGATAACAGGCAAACACCGCGGAAATTATCGGGGTTGTTCTTCGCTCCTTTCTTGTGCAGTGAAATAATGAGTCCCACTTTGACTATATCATCCCAAAATTCCGCTGATGTAGTGAACATGGTTTGTATCACTTTTACTATTCTCTTTTGGAATTCTATTGGAGCTGACTTAAGGTAGATCATTCTGATGTCGTCCTCGCCCGGTGCTTTTTCCTTAACCTTCGCCCACTCTTCCATAATTTCAGTCCATTTTCTTCGCGTTTTTCTTGCACTTTCTGGAAGTGTTGCTTAAAAGTTTCCGCTGGGATTACTGTTGCTTTAGAATTAGGTACTGCGTAATGTCTAAGTCCTAGCTGCTTGAGGATGCTGTACATCTCCCCGATGTCTTGCCTACGCATAGCTTCCTCGCATTTGACTGAGAGAGCTTCCCACCATTCTGTTTCCCACTCTAAACTCTTTTCGTGCTGTTTTAAGCTCTTCCCTTGCATTGTGCCTTGCGCCTCGCTTGTTGCCTCGTTCCGTTTTTTGACTGCCCTTTAAATTGAACTCCCTTGCTCGGTCTTCATGGCCTACCATCCATTGACTGGTTTTGCTTCTTGTATCTTCTAACCCACAAGCCGCCTTGGCTGCCCTTTTCACGGTTTCTGCTAATTCTGCCCAAGAGGGTTCGTTTGAAAGGGAGGCCTTGCTTATGTGTTCCTGATACGCATCATGATGTTTCGGGCCATCTGTCTTCCCGTACCACCTTCATCGACTTTTGTAGCCTACAGGTTGTTTTAGGAGGTGCTCGGTTCGGCTATTGCCGGGCCGCTCCCTTCCCAAAAAGGGTCCTTGAAACGATTTCCTCGCGTAGTCGTTTCCTCTTCTCCTTCTTGAGGTGATGTTGCTTTTGTGGTATCGCTTTCCACCGCGCGTAGGTACAACATCTGGGAAGCAACACCCGACACTCCCAGTTCTTTTTCCCCACCTTCTTCCCAATATCCACCTTCCTCGCAATCAGTCCGTATAATTTCACCCCATCAGCCTTTTTCTGACAAAAACCGAATTTCATCTCCATATGAAATGTGAAACGATTGATCAAAGATCAACAGGGCGCTAAAAATATCAGTTTGAAATTAAAATGTAAAGCGACTTCTTGTTAAGAAAGGTTGAAAGTTTTTTAAGATTCTTTTTACGTTTGTAGGTGTACATGTATTTTTGTTCGGATATTTGTTCCGAAAGACGACGAAAGATAAAACAAACTATGAATTATATAAACAAAGCAGATCACACACATATTTCAATCAGTTATCTGAAAAACATATACATAAACGAAGTCGCGGGTTGATCCTTTCCATCAAATAATTATCGCGTTTTTGTCTTTGTTCATTGTCCTAGCTCATTAGCCACCGAGGTTCAGAACCCGAGTTATTGATGACAACTTGTTGATTTCTAGTTTTTTTTCTACTCGATTTGTAGATCTTCGATTTTGCAAATTTCACGAGTGGTAGGTTTTCCGACTAATGAGCTATGATTTATGTTAGCAAATCAGATTTAATTACAGTCATTTTTAGGTGAGTTTTTACAAATCGTGTCAAATTTTGTATCAGAACAACACGCGCTAAAACGCTTGACGAGTTCTTGAGCCGATGCGAAATCTAAATCTAATCAAGTGTTTCTGCGTGAGAAAGAAAAACGTTTGGCGAGTTTCAAGTAGAGCTAACTGGTCTTAAGCTAACGTTTCATGATCGTAACTATGAAAGAGCTCCCTTTTGACTAACGGTCAACAGGAACGAAAAAACAATCAGTTAGTTTTTCTAGTTCGTTTTCACAGAAAACTTTTTGTGTATTGTGTCCGGGTAAAACGCTGGAGAGTTGTTAGAGAATCAAATGTTGAGTCATGTGTAATTATTTTAATTATATTTCATAAATTTACAAATTCTAATTTGGAGGTGCTTCATGATTCTATATTTCAGTAAAAGTTATTGTTTTTGTTTTCCGTTCTTTTGTCGCCTTATTGTTTCCGGGATCCGTTAGTTTCACTGGTTTTCTTGTAATATAGTCAATTTAAATTTATGTGATGATTCTCTTATAGTCAGCTTTTAAGAAAAGAAGTACAGGTGTTCTCGTAATTTTTTGTGAGTTATCGATTATTACCAGGAAACAGCTAGCTTATCTAGTGGTGAACTGGAAAGTAGAATATAAAAGAGTGTAACAAGTTGCTGTTCGAGGAACACCGAATGTCTCACCAAGTACATTTTTCGATAATTTTGTTCAGTTGATTTTTCGTAGACGTAGTGTTTCTTGAAGTTGATATTAGCTCCAAAAAGCGTCCGGTAGAAACTTTTGGTTGCTCATCCTTAAATCCCTTGACTGAACAGGCAAAAATTTTCATTTTTCGCTCTAATTGAGTTTCAAAAAATTAAACGTTTTCCTGATTTACCTGAATAAAAAAATAACTGAAAATAGAGCTTCCCATTTTTCATTGAACTCTCGAATAATTTTTAAAAATTTTACAGCTCGATATTATAGGTATGATATGCTTAGACATAAAGATCCGGAATCCTGGCACATCCTAATTTTGAACAAATTGTTTTCAGATAGTAAAAATGTTGCGTTCACTTTTCCTTAGCATCCTTCTGTCATTTCTTTTTGTTACTCTTTTTAATGAAAACCAGTTTGTTGCGGCTTCCAAGCCTGGCGAGATGCCGTATAGACCCTTGGGCATTGGTCTTGAGTCAGCACCCTTCTACAAGCCGGATTCTTCTGGAATGTTTTCGTGCATCGATGGATCCAAGAAGATCCCTTTCGACCAAGTGAATGACGACTACTGTGACTGTGCTGACTCAAGTGATGAGCCAGGAACTGCTGCCTGTTCCGACGGTGAGAAGGAGTTAAAATTAAAAATTGCATCTAGCTGTCAATTTTGTTGAAGTTAGTCTTCTAATGACAGGTGTGTGACTTAAACTTGTACTCATATGGCTTAAATTAACCTAAATAATGATATCTGAAGGTTGGGCGTATTATGAAAGGGTTGTTTGTTGGGGCTTGATCTTTCAAGTCTCACGAAGTATGAGCCAAAAAAGATCAATGATGAGGGAAAGTTGTTCAGGCATTTTATGATTGGACTGTGGTTGGAAAATCAAAAACGACATTGGAATCCGCTTTTTGAAAATCGATGAATGCAATTTTAAATTGTGGACTAAAAAATCACCAACAGCAAGACAAAGAAATTTTTCAAGCACTACGCCTCCTCTTACAATTACGCCAAACAGAAATCCATGTCACCAGCCTGTAACTAATCGCTCTCCAAAAACAATGATTTATCCTGTGTAATTACCCCCACTTATAGCCAGTCCGCCTATCAAACTGTACTCCTCATGAAAACAGTCCCTCAACCAACCAAGCAAACTCTCTGTCAATCAAATACCTTAACATATTATAACGGCATTTCTGGGAAAGCATCTCAAATTGAAGCTTCAAGGTGTGAGTACCATATTCATATTGCGGTTTTGAAGCAACAAAGTTGAACCCGAACAATTTTACTCATTCGTTGGGTACTAACTATACCATTATCAGAAAAGATCGCTCGTCAGAGATAAGTAGACTCTTTATCACTCCACATAATTTGCTTCTCCACGGAGAAAATGAAAATGTGGAAGACGGATTTCTGGAGACACTATGTCACAAAAATCCCCTAATCAAAAGTTTCGACGTTCCTCGCAGAAGCTGTCTTAAGGATTATAAAGTATCAGTTGCAGCTATGTTTTCGGAATAAACCAGCAATATTTGGCGATGCTGTTGCACACCTTCCTGTTTTGTACTCTAAAGCCCCGAGGTCCAGAGAAGGGACAGCATTGGGACTAAAATTGTTGAACTACCATTCAATACACTAAATTACCATCAGCGAACGCGGCTTCTACTCGACCATAATTGATCAGCATAATCCCCAAACATTTTGTAGGCTTCATCGTGTATTTTACTAAATCTGTCGTGGCAAGCATTCAAAATTAAGCTGAGATTATCTAAAATAATTAAGAATTGTCCTCATCGGCGAAGGTATACCAATCGCTCCTCGCAAGCTTCCATTTAATCTCAAAAAGGAAGACAAGAATTTTTTTGCTAATGAAAATAAAGATCATTGCAGGTTGATGTAAACGTAACATAATTGATTTTCGTTCAAAATTACTTGCTGCAATACGTTGGCACATTCTCAGCGGCCATATACTTTTTTGAATGAAAAAATAACATCGACTTACGAGCCCAACTGTACTCAAGCTTAGCCTCGAAGGCGCATTAAGATTTATTTCCATCAACACTGAAATTTGCATCAAAGCATTAGGACTAGATGTACTAGTCTCTATGGTTCATCTCAAACATCGCACTATGCTATATTTTTTTGCGGTTCGATTTTTGTTATGACTACTAGTAGTGAGTTGAATCTCTCTCTGGGTATGTTTTTTATTTTAATTGGAACCAAACTGTAGTCAAAATGACCGATTTTTATACCATAAGAGCAAGTTTAGAGCGTTTTTTTTTCTCCTCACCCAATTTTTCTGCTAAATGTCGGGATTTTTTTTGCTACTTGTGCTGTAGCTCTCTTCTCTTGTTTTTTTTAAGTTCAATTCATTTTCGTTTGTTAAAAGGAGGGCAAGTTATGTTTTTCGATTACAGAAGTGCAAACGCTGTGTCAAAACGTGAGTGTTATCGAGTTGCGAAAATATACTGTTTTACTCAGAGTTTGCATTGTTTTGGGTTAGTATCGTGAAAAAACACTATTTATTTGAACATCAAGGAGTTGTTTTGATGGTCATATTTTCCTGTTCAGATTTAGTTTGCACAGAAAAAAAAAATGTTTTCCGAAAACAACAGGTAGCGAAAACTGCTAATTTAGGAGCCATTTGTTTTAAGCGGCAGTTTTTTTGTAATCGGGAGCTAAACTTTTTTCATTTTCTTACAGTTTTTCATTTTGCTTTGTATTTGAATCTTAACAACTTCCAGTTTCCTTCACACTTAGCTTAAAGGTAACTTTGTTGCTTTTGTATCCGAAGGAGGGATTCGAAACCCGGCCGGACCTTGTTTTTTTTCAGTATGGATGAAATTGAAAAAAAATTCCAGTAAAAAGGATTTGTCGGATTTTTGATTATCTGCTCAGTTTTGTCTGCTTAGTTGCCAAATTGCGGGTTTCTCTTGCGCGGTAGGTAAAAACCATTGTATCATAATCCCTGCAGTTTCAAGGAGTTTTTTTTTGTAAAATCAATTTTTTCCGCTCAATAGATTGTCGGCATTGTTTCCGCTTCGTAAGTTTTGTTCCGTTGCTAGTTTAAGTTTCAATTGTCTTCCATGTTTCTCTAGAATTCTTACTTGAAAGAAAAAACAGTTATATTGAAAACGTATGGGATTAGGTGTTTCAACATATTTATTTGACGCTTTGAAATTTCAGTTTCTCTCAATAACTCTTCTACCAATTTCCACAAATTTACTCCCTGAGATTTTGATTCCAATGAAAAGAATGGGTTTTGAAAAGCTCCCCTGCTTGAGCGGCTACGCCTAATTTTTTTGCACATGGCCCTCGAGATAGTCAAGTTTTTGGTTTTTTGACCGTTTTTTGAATCTTGACTTTTCTCAAAAACTAACTTTTCATTTCTGAAGCTGTGAGTTTATAGACCTAACGGGTAAAGTGAAGCTCCCCTGCATTAGCGGCACTCACAAAAATTTTTCCGCAGAAAAGTTATCTCCCTCGGAAAAGTCAAATTTTTAATATTTCGATCCGTTTTTAAGTTTTTTGAATTTTCGCGAAAACTACACTCCTTTATCTGAGATTTTGGGTTCAATCCAAAGAACAGGTTGTGAGAATCTTCATTGCATTTGCAACTACACAAAGTTTTCTTTAAAAAGTTTTTGGCCCTCGGAACTGTCAAAACTTCAATTTTTTGAATGTTTTCTGAAGAACTACCCGCACGAAAGTTTTTGGGTTCAATCGAAATTAGAGATTGCATGAATTTCTTCTGCGTCAGCGTCTACGCTCAAAATTTTTTATAAAGCATATTATAGTTGGAAATGTCTAATTTTTGATTTGTTGACCGTTCTCTAGTCTTTTTAAATAAACTATAATGCCAAATCTAATATCATAGGTTTTATCGAAACAAATGGTTGCTAAAAGTTTGCCTTTATAATTGGATCTGCCCATTTTTTTTAGATAAAAGTTGTGGGATTCAAAAAAAACAAAGTTTTGAAACTTTGATTGTTTTTTTGGAAATTTTTTGAGTTCACTCGAAAATTACCATGCCAGTTCTCAGGTTAAGAGTTCAATCGAGAAAACCAGTTCTTCTGTACTTTAGCAGCCACGAGCTGCTTTTTACAGAAAAAAGTTTTGGATTTCTGAATTTTTTTTTTTTAGAAACGCAGACCGTTGTTTAGAAACTTTTTGAATTTTCCTAAAAACTACCCTTCAAATGTGTGATGAAAAGTTCAATCGAAAGAACCGGTTGTGAGTTTTTTCTGCAGAAACTGCGACTCCTTAATGTTTTTTAGGAGAATGTTATGTCCTTGGGAAAATTCCGATATCTCAAACTTTCTTTCTTCTCACTTATTTTAGTAGAGAAACAACTAAGGTTTTGGCGAAGTCTAATTTTTGAAATAACGCCTTTCGTCCTACATCATTATTGCAAACTCAAAAAATATCTAACACGTACCTCCAGTTTTAGCTGGGCCCCTTCTTGTCTTTTATAGAGACTACGAGTATTTAAGTTCGCCTAGCTTTTTTTCATCTTTTTTCATTTTTTCGATCTATGTTTTTATGTTTGTGTTCTATCGCAAATGGCCGAAGCTCCGCTTCGCCTCTGTGTAAAGTTATGTGAATACTCTGCTTGTAACCAAATGATATAGATATATTGCTTTCAGATGTGAAACGAATTAGGAAAAGACAATTCAGTGAGTTGATTATAGATGTATTGAATGAATCAATCAATTTGTTGAAAACAAATTAAACGGCATCAAACAAAAAAAAGAATATTTTAGAAGACTCCTAATCAATGCGGTTTCTATTAAAACGTCTTTTAGAAAGTTTTTCTCTGAAATTTGGCGTTATAACTATTGTAACTGTTCTTTTATATGGATATGTAGCACTGTTCACAGCATTTGATATTCTTGGTTTTGTCAATTGTCTGATATTCTTTCGATGTGATGTAAAGAGTTCTTCGGATCTGGTTATCAACTCCCTTCCCCAGGGTACCTTGTCAAGAATTATTGTTACCCTAGTTTTGAATGATCTATTGGTTACGAATGGGTAAAATTTTCACATATATCTGCTCATTTTCCTTTCTCCGCATCTCTCAAACGTAAAATTTTGGTGTCATGGTTAAACAGTTAATTTATAAGATTATATATGTTTTGGCAATTGCGTTTTACTATCAAATTTATTACAATTGGTCTCAAGAGTTGTATTCATGAAAATTCTTTTGTGGGGACAAAAGAAAGAAGCCCGATTCTCGGATCTACATCGCCAGCCACAATTGATATACGGAGGGAGACTGTGTAACTAGATCCATTTCCTGTAAAACAGTTGTTGCTGTTCTGTTTTATGGTTTTGATTTTAGGGCGTTTTGTGTGTGCGAACCATGGATACATCCCAGTGACGATTCTGTCCTCTCGAGTGAACGACCACCTGTGCGACTGTTGTGACGGGAGTGACGAGTACAACAGTGGGAAGCAGTGTCCCAACACATGTGTGGAGGAGAGACAGAAACAGATGGAACAGTTCAAAGTGTTCAATGAAGGATACAGCAAGAGACAAGAGTTGATAAAACAGGCCAAAAAGGTGAGTAGTAGTTATTAGTTACTCATTGTTTGATCTTGACGCGACATGTTTCAACCAAAAAAAAAAATTAAAATCCATCTATCTATTGTCTATCTATATCTATCTATCTATCTATCTATCTATCTATCTATCTATCTATCTATCTATCTATCTATCTATCTGTCTTTTATATATTTAAATACGGGCTTCACTATCTCGCCATGTTTATGTTTTTCCAACGTATTCTTTTACGAAAGAATTTTTTCACGTGTAAGCTATATCGTGTATTGCAATGGCTCAGATTTTTTTTTCGATTTTTCAATTTGAATTTAAATACGAATTCAAATGCTTTTAGATTCCGAGATATGACGTTTTTTTGAGATATAAATTTTTTACGAAATTGGACTTTGACAACCCTATAGTTGGGTGCTGCCCGGATAGTCTCAGCATTTCGTTTCCAAGGTATGACCTTTTATTTGATATATTTTTTTAAAGATTTTTTCACAATAATTGTTTTAAAGCTTAACGGAATTTTTAACTCACAACCCTAAAATTGGATGATCTCATGGTACCTTCAAAGGTTGCATTCTTTCCCTCGAAAGTTGAGAGCTCAAATCAACTGAGTTTGCGAGATATGCCATTTTTTTTTAATTTTACAAAAACTTTTCTAAATACTTAATCTAAAAAAACTTGACAAAATTAAATTCTCAACACACTGGTTGGGTGCTTTCAAAAAGTCCCAGGAAGTTTATATCTGGACTCTAAACATGACTGCTCAACGAATTTCACTGTCCTGGTCATGACTTTTTATATTATTTTTCAAAATTGTTTAATTTCAAAGTACTTTTCAAATTGTTGACGAATTGGTGGGATGAAGTCAGGTTACTTCCAGCAGTTGTAGATGTGGCCTTCATCCTAATATTGTAGCTCAAATTGTTCAATTTTTCGAAAATGACTTTTTAAGACGTTTCAAAAATGGTCCTTAATATCTATTGATGCCAGCAAATGATATATGGCAGCGTACGGGCTCATGAAAAGAATGAACTAAGTTCAGCAAGAGTCTCATTCATAAATTCGGTGATTTTGGCATTGAAGTCGTTAAAAATGGAAAGTGCAGTTGTATGTTGTCTGCCGTTTTAGGATGTTGTTTCTAGAACCCCAGTAAAGAGATCTGAAAATACGAAGATCGGAACCCCAGTTCGACCATTTTATTTTGAAAAGAACCTGAAGTTGGAATTTATCGTTCAATTTTTGAAATCAAAAGCATTGTTGGATGCCGCCGTCTATTGTTACGGTTGCATTCGTTTCGTTGTTTTCTAATATATAAGTTTTTGAATCTGTTTAAAGCACCGGAGGTGCATTATATGCTAGTTACATCTAAAAGGAAAGTTACTTCGTGATATGCTGTTGCAAACTCAACTATCAGTCATTGATCATACCTGGTCTTGAGTCAGCGCTATCCGCTATCTAAGTTATCACCTTCATGCAGTGTGTTATTCGTCACTGCTTAATTGAATCAATGCCGTTGAACATGAAATTAAGGAGAGAAAAGTTAGCATTTCTGATTATAAGAAAACTTCAGAAGTCAATTGATAGCATTTCTGATCAACAATTACTAAGTTTCGGATATAAGATATAAAAGACTAGTAAATATTGTTGTTTTGTAATAGGACTTGGAAGAAAAGAAGAAGCAGTTGGAGGAGCTTGACAAAAAGCTGACTGCTGAGAGCGCCAAATTGGAAACTCTTCTCAAGGTCAAAGAAGAGGCAGAAGCTCCTGAGAGGGAAGCGAAAGATAAATACGACCAAATGATTAAAGAACTGAAAGAAAAACACGCAAATGAAGTCATGATTAAGAAATCGGAAGAAGCATTTAAGGAGATTGACTCGGATTCAAGTGGTGGTGTATCTTTTGAGGAACTGATTGCATGCACTTCTATAGATGGACCAAACCAATGTGGAGTATCGGAGACTGAAGTGAAAGAATGGTTCCCAATTGACCTAACCAGTTTGGACATTGATGGGTTCCGGGAGTTTATCTGGAAAGAAAAACTGGACAAACATTTCAAAACTGCTGCTGAAAAACAACAAGAAACTTTGGATGGTCAGAAAATCGAAGAAGAATCGCATAAAGACGAGTTTGATGATTCGAAAACTAATGAGGATGAAAATGAAGATGATTCTGATTACGATTTCCCAGAAGACCATCCGAAACATCCAGACAATGTAGCCAAATTGAAAGACCTCCCAAAAGATGTTGAGGTCCCGCCAATGAGCGACGAAGCTCAGAAGTTAATTGATGTCGCGAACGAAGCGCGTGCTAAATTTAAAGACCAAGAAAAAGTGAAGCAAGATTTAGAAAACCAGAAGAATGATATTGAAAGAGACGTTGAACTAGATGTTGGACCCGAGAAAGAGTTTTTGCATTTGGTCAAACAGTGCTTCGACTACAAGGAAAAAGAATATACTTACACATTCTGTGCGTTTGACCGAGGTGCTCAGAAGCCGAAAAGTGGAAGTGAGACTAATCTTGGTAGGTGGGGCGAATGGAGTGGACCGGCGCATAATAAGTACAGCCAGATGAAGTTAACCAGAGGTCAGCGGTGCTGGAATGGCCCGGACAGGTCTCTTACTATCAATTTCGAATGCGGTCAAGAGGATAAGATCTTAAGCACTTCTGAACCGAGTATGTGTGAATATGTGATGCAGTTTTCAACGCCAGCTGCATGCAACAAGCAATATGACTTCGATCATGAGCGAAGAGTCCACGAGGACCTGTAACTGTGGTTCATTACATAACTGAAACTGAGTGATTGATTTACGCGGATGATATTGCAATAGTTGGTGCGTGATTTTTTCGGACGTTTTGAAGAAAAAACCAATGAGCATCTAAATATAATTTAAGCAATATAAGCGAAATGCTTTCATTGACTCGATTCATTGACCTTGTGGCGCATCGGTAGTGATGGTGCCCAGCAATCATATGATTGCGGGTTCAAGTCGCACGCGCGTTGCAATTTACAAGGTGAGCTCTTGTAAGATAGCCATAGCTTAGTTAACCTTAAATAATTAACCTTCGGGTTAGGACTCTGGCTGGTTAAGTAAAAAAATAAAGCTTTGAGTTAATTGACTTGCAATTTCGCTTTTATTTCATAAGAAATTATATTTCTTTCTGGTTTCGCTCAGCTAGTTTTTTTTCTTATGATTTATTATCAGAACCGGAAGCAACAACTATCTTCTTATTTTTTGAGACAATTCTACGGTATCTGTTGCTGTGGCTTGATCTTTATAGAGTCCGTCTAAAACATTTGAAAAGTGTAGTTTTTATCTGAAAATACAACATTGTGCCAACTATTGTTGCATAAATCACCAATTCGAATGGCTAAAATTACACAGGTTTTATGTGATGGGAGTATTCTGTTTGATGTTTTATCAACTATATTTCATTTCTGTATGTTAATTTGAATATAACCTAATAAAGTGTCCATAATAATTGCTTTGGGGAATGAGAAAGAGATGAACTTAATCGGATCTTTATAGCAAAGTAGAAGAAAAGAAGAGTAATCCAAGAAAATAACCACAAGTCCAGATTTATAGATGATAAAATTATCGGTAAGAAACTCTCAAAGGACAACCAATTAATCTCCAGGAGTTTTTGCTTGTTATTGGCTTGGATGTTGGTGTTTTCTTTTGAGTCGCCCTCTCGTCAGTATCAAGCGGTTTTTTCTGAAGTAGGTTGACATATATCATGCGTTACGGAGCATTAAAGATTCCAGTGAAGGCAGTTCTGAGAAGTGCAACTAGCAAACACAAGTTTGCAAATTTCTCGAAAAGTACAGTGTGCGCTGAATTAAAGAAATTGACTTAAGCAAAACACTGCTCGTTACAATCAAATGTTTTTTCTTTTTGTTTTTAACTGCTATATCGAAAACTGGGAAATATTTATGGCATAGTGTAATTCCGCAAGATTGCATCTTTTTCCGGGGAGCGTTGGTGAAATGGTTACGTCTCCGCCTCTCAATCCAAAGGTCGTATGTTCGAGGTCCACCATGATCCGTTCTCGTTACTTGAGGGTGAGACAACATTATGCAGCCCAGAAAAATAACCAAAAACATTGTGAAAATTTTCTGATAATTACAGCAGCAAGTTATCTCGGGCTCGATTTTGAAATGCTCTCTAAAATCTACTATGGCTAAGACTCTCTGTGCTATTGGTGGTAAACCAACAAACAGCCATATATATATGCCGAAAGTGAGATTACCATTCCAACAAACCAAAAATTAGTAATGTTATGCAACATAACAACAGATTGTCTCTGTTGTTATGCAATTAATACGAAATTCTAATGTAAATAAAGTTATTTTGATGTAGTTGCGGCTTCAAGATATGGAGTTTTGTTGAGCATCAGCCGTGCTGCTCTTATTAAATTGCAGCTCATTAATCAGTTAAAGTGTAATTCATATTTTTATACTTCAGTCTTTTCGTACTTCCAATTGCATAACTGGAAAATCTTAAACAACCAGTTTATTCATACGTTTTGAATAATGTATATCAGTTAAGTCATGAAAAAACTAACAAACTCTCGAATAGAGGAAAACTTCACTGCTAATGAAGTTTCGATTTCACTAATAACCGGATCAAATCTCATTTTCCGGCCATTTCTTCCCTGGCAGTCAAAATAATTTCCAGTGACAATTATGACCTAAAATGGTCACATTTTAAGCCAATCATTTGAGTACAGCTATCTGATGAACTGATTTGGACTGTTATCAGAACTTTCTTCCAAGTTTCTGGGTCTTCGCAATTGAAAAAATCATTTTCACTATGTAAACAGCCACAACTTCATATTCTCCAAGCAGAGAATCGGAATATTATCTTTTTCTTGTTCCTTATTACACAAGTGGAGGCGTGCTATAAAAACTGGTCTCAAACTGAACCACAGTCGCAATTTCTTGCACTGCTTCTTTGGACGGCATAATTCAGCTGCCTGCATTAGTTACGAAATAATTACATGCTTAACTAAGCGCTGTGATAATTAACGGGTAATTTAAAATAAGTGTTCCGCAAATATTTTCAGTTGTTTCAATAAGTACCCTTTCACTTAAAAACAGAGGGTCTTATGCACTTAACGGCCCCAAATCCTTATTTCTACGTCTTTTTACAATTTTATTAAAATTGAAGTTGATTGGCTAATTAGGCAATTCAATCAAAAATCCCAGCAGATAAAATTGTTGGCCGAGATAACCAAAACTATAAAAAGTTTATTCTACTGAAACCATTTTTCTGGATTTTTTTGTCTGGACAAACTTTCCCAAGGTACTTGAAAATAATGTTATTATTAGACAAAAATTTACAATTTGGTGCTCGCGGCTAATGTTTTTATCTGCTGGAAGTTTTGGTTGAATTGTCTGACTATAACGCTTGAATTTTATTGGCCAATATTAGGCAATTCATTCGACCGCATGAATTTTAGCTCAAGAAATATAAATATTGATTTTAGGCCGTCTTGTGCATAAGACCCAAAACAGGCCCCAAAATCGACTAAAGTTTAATCTATTAAATCCTGTTTTGAAAAAAGAAACACTTACTCCAGGTTTGGTCGCTGTTACTAGCTTCTACCAGTTGTCATTTTTGACGTTCGATTGTCTGCTCGAAATTAGAGAATTCAAAGTTTTTTCCTGCGAGCCCGGTTGACCAAAAATGCTAATAATTCAATTATTACTTTTGGTAAAATGCTACTCATACTTTTTTCATGCAATTCCATAAGTACAGAAAGTTTTATGAAAGGTCTATGATTAGTGCTTTTTCATCTATGGAAGTTGTATGACTAGCATTTTCCCATAAATTAAAAACATTGATTTTTGAAAAAAAAATTATTTCTCAAAGTTTTGGGGTGTTCGTGAACGAACACAAGTGAAAAAAACCATTATTTACTCAAAACTAGAGTCACCAAAGGTTTGATCGTCCTGCATTCAGAATGCATTGGAAACGACCTGAATGATATAAGAGTTATCTTACACAAACCATATACTGAAAGCGTCAAAGTTTTAAATTTTGGCATAAATTTGATCATTTTTGAAATGTGAATTTTTAAATTATCAGACACTGATCAAGGCATACATAAACATGTCATACAAAAGAAATAAGAGTTTATAGCCTGTTTGAAAAAATGTATCCAGAGATACGGAAAAAATCCAACTTTTGTGTATCCAGGACTCCGTTATGCATACAAAAATTAAATTTTGCATGCAAAATTTTTTTTTTGGAAATTGTCTTATTGATTACAAAATTCAATTCGCGGTTAAAAAAACTGAAACATTTTTGGGGCAATTTTAAAAAAATTTTTGTTGTCGCCATCAAGAAAAATGCTAGTCATACAATTTTCATCAATGGAAATTGTATGATTAGCGTTTTTTTGACAAAATGTATTCTTTTTTATTTAGTACGATACGCTGACTTTTATGCCAAAACAAGAAAAAAGTTCTTTGAAAATTCGATGACTTCATTTAAGCAAAATGTATGAAATTTGTATGATTGGAGTTTGTATAGAATTATTTTTTGGAATAGTATGATAAGCAATTTTGGCCTATGGAAATCAGCCTGGGAGGCCTAAAATTTGCGCGGCCACACTTCGTAGTTTCAAAATATATATAGATCCTATGGTAAAAAAGTATATTGAATCTCAAATAGGGACTATAGGAGAAAAAAACGTTCGGATTTCAGTATTGATAAAGCCAATGTGTTTCTATTTATACAGTCAATACCGACCACAGTTGTTTTTAGAAATCGAAGCAAATACGAAGCATATGTTGAATAGATTTCAATAAGAGTCCACAGGTCCATTTTTTTGGAAGAATATAATTCTGATTTCAAAATCCATGGATTTTAAATATTTTGTTATGGTTGTTTTGTCAAAAAAAATTTGTTATGGTTGAAATATAAAAAGTAAAAATAAATTTTGTTGAAATAAAACCCGAAGAGTTCGTTTTCTTTCCTGATCAAACATTTTTGCTTATGGTTGGCTTCAGAAATTTTCGCAGAAAAAATATTTTTTTTTTACAAGATGTTTGTCAACTTAGAACTTAGTTTTGCTGATAACTTGAAAATTTGTTTTTCCGACCTCCCCAGTGCTTACTATTACCAGTTAGTAATTCTAAACTTCGGATTGAGTCAAAATAATTTCAAATATTTCATTTCACATGCGAGAGTTAATGACTCGTAATCGGGAACTAGACTTTTTTGCGTAAACAACTTTTCTTGCCCATTTCTGCTTCATATCTGCTGACATGCTCAATTTCTTTAAACTTCCAATGAAACTACTTCTTAATCCAGCTGAGGTAATTTTTGATTTTTTTCTAATTAAATGTATTGAAAAAAAAATAGGATTTTTTGTGGATTTCGTCCTACTTTCTGTCGGCTGATTTTCCGTTTTTCTTTTTCAAATGAATCTATTATATATTTAAATGCGAGCTTCACTATCTCGCCATGTTTAAGCTTTTTCAACGTATTATTTTTGCGTGTTTAAGCTATATCGTATATTGCAATGGTTAAAAAAATTTTTTTTGATGTTCCAATTTGGTTTTAGTGGTTATTTCACCGAGTTTAAATTAAGCAGCCCTATTTCAAATTAGGGGTTGCGAGTTTGGCTTCCAATTTTGAATGCCCGTATTGTTTTAGTTAACGAGATAAGACGATTTTTAAGAAGGAGTTACAAATCTTGCCTACAAATATGACTGTTCCGATCCTTGTAGTTTTCGAGATATGACGTTTTCTGTGATTTTTTCAAAAAATTTTCAGAAAACTTACATCAATTTTTTCCCAACCCTGTAGTTGGGTCCTGTCAGAGTAACCTCAAAAATTGCGAATCTTGCCTCCAAATATGACTGCTCAAATCCTTGTAGTTTTCGAGATATGATGTTTTTTGTAATTTTTTCAAAAAATGTTCAGAAAATTTTAATTTATTAATTCTCAAAAATTTGAAATTCCCAACCTTTTAGTTGGAAGATATCAGAGTACTGTAAGGAGTTACAAATCTTGCCTCCAAATATGACTGTTCCAATCCTTGTAGTTTTCGAGAAATGACGTTTTTTGTGATTTTTTCAAAAAATTTTCAGAAAACTTTTAACATTTTTTTTCTCAAAATCTGAAATTCCCAACCCACTAGTTAGGTCCTGTTAGAGTACTCTCAAAGATTGCGAATCTTGCCTCCAAGTATGACTGCTCAATTTTTGTAGTTTTGAGATATGACGTTTTTTGTGATTTTTTCAAAAATTTTCAGAAAACTTTAATTATTATTATTCTTTAAAAATCTGAAATTCCCAACCCAGTAGTTAGGTCCTGTTAGAGTACTCACAAAGATTGCGAATCTTGCCTCTACCAACTTGAAACTTGAAAATTTGAAACTACTATTTTGATGAAGATACAACCTTATTGTCAGCGTACACCCAGGCGTCTCAAATCTTGCTTCTTAATATGATTGCTTAAATCCTTTTAGTTTCCGAGATAAGACTTTTTTCATTTTTTTTCGGGAAAT